CCTTTGGGCAAACTAGGATGAAATGGGATGGGATTGATTGATGTTCCCATAAAAGGCTGCAGGGAGCAGGGCCGACCGTGAAATCATGGGGTGGAAGGGAAAACGTGGAGTTGGGAACAATTCCAGGGGAAATCCTGACCCCAAACCTGGGAGGGATCCCTTGGTGGCTGAGCTCGGCTCTCCAGGGGATTTGGGATCATCTCAGTGCTGGATTTGGGATCATCCCACTGAGGGAATTTGGGATCATCCCAGTGCTGTATTTGGGATCATCCCATGGAAAGGGGTTTGGGATCATCCCTGTTCTGTATTTGGGATCATCCCATGGATGGGGATTTGGGATCATCCCAGTGCTGGATTTGGGATCACCCCACTGAGGGAATTTGGGATCATCCCAGTGCTGGATTTGGGATCATCCCATGGAAAGGGGTTTGGGATCATCTCAGTGCTGGATTTGGCATCATCCCTGTGCTGTATTTGGGATCACCCCACTGAGGGGCTTTGGGATCATCCCATGGATGGGGTTTGGGATCATCCCACAGCTGGAGCTCCCTGCCATTCCCTAAACTCCAGAGCAGTTCCCTCCCGAATCCCCCAAACCCCACAGAAATAAATCCCCCAAACCCCCCAGACCCAAACCCCGCAGCCTGGGCTGGATTCCCCCCATCCCAGCGATCCCACACGGAATCCCCATCCCCGTGTGGGGCCGATCCCGTGGGTTCCCCCCTTCCCCTTCCCCTCCCCCGGAGCTCCCGTGATGCTCCGGCCGCCATCGATCCATCGGCATCGGCATCGCTGGGATGCTGCAAGGGCAGCTCTGACTCCTGCCAGTCCCGACTGCCCTGACCCCACAGCCCGATCCCAAAGCTGTCCCTGGGGAGCCTCAGGTGAGTTTGGGAAATTGGGAAATTGGAAATTGGTTTTTTGGGATTTCATGGGATCGGGGCTGGCGCTTTGGGGTCGCTGGCAGAGCAGCAGTGACTCCCATCAATCCCACTTTTCCCTGACCCCACAACCCAATCCCAAATAACTCTTTTTGGGGAGCTTCTGATGGGTTTGGAAGGGGAAATTGGGAAATTGGTTTTTTGGGTTTCATAGGATCAGGGCTGGCGCTTTGGGGTCGCTGGCAGAGCAGCAGTGACTCCTGGCAATCCCACATTTCCCTGACCCCACAGCCCCATCCCAAATCTCTCTTTGGGGAGCTCCAGGTCAGTTTGGAAGGGGAAATCTCCTTTTTCGGGAAATCTTTTTGGGTTTCATAGGATCAGGGCTGGTGCTTTGGGGTCGCTGGAAGAGCAGCTGTGACTCCCATCAATCCCACTTTTCCCTGACCCCACAACCCAATCCCAAATCTCTCTCTGGGGAGCTCCAGGTGAGTTTGGAAGGGGAAATCTCCCTTTTGGGGAAATCTCCTTTTTTGGGGAAATCTCCCTTTTGGGGAAATCTCCTTTTGGGGTTTCACAGGATCGGGGGCAGCGCTGGGTTTGGCTTTCCCTGCCCGGATTTCCCTGGAATTCCAGTTGGGTTTTCCAGCTCCAATTCCTGCTCCTGGCTGGGTTTTGGGGATTTAGGGGGGAAATCTCTGTGGGAAAAATCCCAGCTTGTCCGAGCCCGGGATCGATCGGAGCCTCCATTTAACCGTGCCTAACAAAGCCTGGCTTTACCCGGGGGCTCTCTGTGCTCCCAGCTCATCCAGATCCCCAAAAATCCCATTTTATCCCAGAATGATCCCAGTTTAAAGGGTTTGAACCCCAATCCATCTCACTGGAACCTCAACCTGCCGGGATTTCCCGGGGTTTGGGATTTTTTATTTTTTAAAAGATCATTTTTAGAGTAAAGATATTCCTAGGGGTGTTTTCCTGCTTTTTCTGCTTTTCCAGCTTCCCAAAATCTTCAGGTTCACCCCAGAATGTTTTTGGGAAGCCAAAGCTCGATGTTGTCCCTAAAACTGCCCAGTTTGGGTTGCCCTCCTGAGGGAAAACCCTGAATTTGTTTCCCTTAAATGAAATCAATCCTGCCAAAAGCATCGGATTGACGGAAAAAATCCCAAATCTTGGAAATTTAATTTAAATCTCAGCTGGGATGGGACTGGATCTGGACTGGGATAAACTGGATTTGAGTTGGATTGGGGTAACCTGGATTTAATTTGGACTGGTATTAACTGGATTTGAGCTGGACTGGAATAAACTGGATTTAATTTGGACTGGGATAAACTGGATTTGAACTGGTTTGGGACAAACTGGATTTAATTTGGACTGGGATTAACTGGATTTGAGCTGGACTGGAATAAACTGGATTTAATTTGGACTGGGATAAATTGGATTTTCTCAGGTAAAAGGGAATATCCCCACTGGGATAAACTGGATTTAAATTAGATTGGGGTAAACCAGACTTGAGTTGGACTGGGACAAACTGGATTTAATTTGGACTGGGATAACCTGGATTTAAATTGGACTGGGATAAATTTGATTTAATTTGGACTGGGGTAAACTGGATTTAATTTGGACTGGGATAAATTTGGTTTAATTTGGACTGGGATAAATTTGATTTAATTTGGACTGGGATAAACAGGATTTAATTTGGACTGGGACAAAGTGGATTTAATTTGGACTGGGACAAACTGGATTTTCCCAGGTAAAAGGGTCAGGAATTCCCTCCCTGCCAGCCCCAGCACCCCGGCCGTTCCCATTTTTGAGGTTTTGGCCGGATTTGGGGTTTTTGTCCCCGAAAGAGCTGGAACCTGCGGGAATCGCCCTCCGAGTGACTTTGGGAGCATCGACCGGGCGGGAATGGAAACAACCGGGGCAGCCGAGTGTGAAAGGCAATCGCTGGGGCTCGGCTAATTAGGGAGCCGTTAATTAACTCAGCAGCAGCGTCCGGGCAGGCGCCGCCGGGATCAAAGGGGAAACGGCTGGGAGTGGAAAGGAAAGGTGGGATCAGGGCTGGGAAAGGGAAATTTGGGGTGGGAAAGCCCTTTGGGATGCGTGGGGTCACCCCAGAATAATGGAAATTATTATGGGGAAATTCCAGGGAAATGTGGAATCAGAAATGGGGAAAATCTCTCTGGGATGTGTGGGGTCACCCTGGAATTCTGAGAAATTTCAGGGAAATGTGGGATCAGGAATGGATAAAATCGTTTTGGGATGTGTGGGGTCACCCCAGAGTTCCTGGAGATTCCAGGGAAATGTGGGATCAGGAATGGGGAAAATCCCTCTGGGATGTGTGGGGTCACCCTGGAATAACGGGAAATTATTATGGGGAAATTCCAGGGAAATGTGGGATCAGGAATGGGGAAAATCCCTTTGGGATGTGTGGGGTCACCCTGGAATAATGGGAAATTATTATGGGGAAATTCCAGGGAAATGTGGGATCAGGAATGGGGAAAATCCCTTTGGGATGTGTTGGTGTCACCCCAGAATAACGGGGGGCTCTGGAATTCCTGGGAATTGGTGTCGGGAATTGTGCCAGGCTCTGGAATTTGGGAAATTCGTTTCCAGAATTGTGCTGGGAAATCTCTGGAATGTTCTGGAGCCTCTGCCCAGCAGGAACTGGAGGACGGGGATGGGATCCCGGGGGAATTTCGGGAATGCGGGGAGAGGAGAGCGGGGGTGGCACAGGAGGTGCCCGAGGGTCCCCACGGATCCCATTGGGAATCCCATTGGGAAGGGTCCCGGAGCAGGGAGCTCCTGGCAGGTGTGCAGAGAGCTCCTTCCCCTCCCAAACCCCACAAAATCCCAAATCCAATGAAATCCCAGATTCCGTAAAATCCCAGATCCCATTAAATCCCAAATCCAATAAAATCCCAGATCCCACAAAATCCCAGATCCCAATAAAATCCCAGATCCCATAGAATCCCAGATCCCACAAAATCCCAAATCCAATGAAATCCCAGATCCCACAAAATCCCAGATCCCATAAATCCCAAATCCAATGAAATCCCAGATCCCACAAAATCCCAGATCCCATAAAATCCCAGATCCCATAAAATCCCAGATCCCATAATCTCAGATCCCGTTCCCAACCCTTGCCAGCTCCCCGAGCAGCCGGACCATGCTGGAGGATGAGGATGGGATGAGCGAGCGCGGCCTTGGCGGCGCCCGGAGGAGATTTGAGGATGAGGAAGGTGAGAGAAATCCAGCAATGTCCTGGAGATTTAAAAAAAAATTTATTCCAATTATTGCTCCATCCACATCACTTTCACCAAGAATTTTTCTCCCAGAAATATGAGTATTTTATTTCAATTTTCCAATCATCTAGATACTTTTCACCAGGAATTTTTCTCCCTGGAAAATCAACTTTTCACTGCAATTATCACCCCATCCACCCCATTTTCACCAGGAATTTTTCTTGCAGAAAAATGACATCTTTTTCAGGAAAATGAATTTTTTATTCCAATTTTATTCCAATCCACATCATTTTCACCAGGAATTTTTGAATTTTTTTATTACAATTTTCTTTCCACCCATGCCATTTCCCCCAGAATTTTTCTCCCACAAAAATGAATTTTTCACTGCAATTATCACCCATCCACATAATTTTCACCAGGAATTTTTTCTCCCAGAAAAATCAATTTTTTGCTGAAATTACCACTCCATGTAGATCATTTTCACCATGAATTTTTCTCCCAGGAAAATGAATTTTTTTTTTCAGGAAAATGTATTATTTTATTCCAATTATCACTCCATCCACATCACTTCCACCAGGAATTTTTCTCCCACAAAAATGAATTTTTTATTACCATTTTCTTTCCACCCATCTCATCTTCACCAGGAATTTTTCTCCCACAAAAATGAATTTTTCCCTGCAATTATCCCCCCATCCCCACCGTTTCAAACCGGAATTTTTTAACCCCTTCCTGTCCGGTTCCCAGACTACCACTCCATCTACATCGGGGTGCCGGTGCCGCGGGGGTTCCGCAGGAAGCGGCGCCGCCGGCGCTCGCCGGGCTCCAGCCGCGACCGCAGCGGCAGCGAGCGCCACTTCGGGCCCCGCGAGCCCTCGGACACGGACGAGGGGCAGGGCTGGCCCGAGAGCGCCAACGACAACGCCAGCAGGACCAGTGAGTGCCGGGGCGGCCGAAATACAGGGGGGGATTTGGGGTTGGATTGGGTCGGGGTCGCGCTGTGGTGACGCTGACCCGCCCGTCCTGAGTTTGGTGGGGCCGTTGGGATGGGGTTGGAGGGGGTTCCTGATGGGATTGGGGTTCTGCGCAAGCTTCACATCATGTTCCTGAGGGGTCTTTCCCATTAAAATGGGGTTGGAGAGGGTTCCTGATGGAATTGGGGTTCTCCACACCCTTCACACCGTGTTCCTGATAGGTTTTTCCCATTGAAATGGGGTTGGAGAGGGTTCCTGATGGAATTGGGGTTCTCCACACCCTTCACACCGTGTTCCCGACGGGTTTTTCCCATTGGATTGGGATTTGGATGGAGTTTCCCCACTGGGATTGGGGTTCCAGAGAAGCTTTGGGAGTCACACCTTATTCCCGATGGGTTTTTCCCATTGAAATGGGGTTGGAGGGGGCTCATGTTAAGATTAGGGTTCTGCACACCCTTCATGCCTTGTTCCTGGTGGGTTTTTCCCATTAAAATGGGGTTTGGAGGGGATTTCCTGCTGGGATTGGTGTTCCAGACAACCTTTGGGAATCACACCTGGTTCCTGATGGATTTTTCCCATTGAAATGGGATTTGGGTTGGGGTTGGAGGGGGTTCCTGATGGGATTGGGGTTCCCCACACCCTTCACACCGTGTTCCCGATGGATTTTTCCCATTGGATTGGGATTTGGATGGAGTTTTCCTGCTGAGATTGGGGTTCCAGAAAACTTTTGGACATCACACCCTGTTCCCAATGGGTCTTTCCCATTGAAAGGGGGTTGGAGGGGTTTCCTGCTGGGATTGGAGTCCTCCACAACCTTCACACCTTGTTCCCAATGGGTTTTTCCCAATGAAATGGGATTTGGAGAGGTTTTCCTGGCTGGAATTGGGGTTCCAGAAAACTTATAGACATCTCACCGTGTTCCTGATGGGTTTTTCCCATTGAAATGGGGTTGGAGGGGGTTCCCTGATGGGATTGAGGTTCTCCACAAGCTTCACCCCTTGTTCCTGATGGGTTTTTCCTGTTGAAATGGGTTTGGATGGAGTTTTCCTGCTGGGATTGGGGTTCCAGACAAGCTCCAGGAACCACACCTTATTCCCAAGGGGTTTTTCCCATTATAATGGGATTATGGGATTTGGAGGGGGATTTCCTGTCTGGAATTGGGGTTCCCCACACCCTTCACACTGTGTTTCTGATGGGTTTTTCCTATTGAAATGGGGTTGGAGGGGTTCCTGTTGGGATTGGGGTTCCCCACAACCTTCACACCTTGTTCCCAATGGGTTTTTCCCAATGAAATGGGATTTGGGTTGGGTTTGGAGATGTTTTCCTGCTGGAATTGCAGTTCCCCACAGCCTTCAGGAACCACACCTTATTCCGAGTGGGTTTTTCCCATTGGAATGTGATTCAGATGGAGTTTCCCCGCTGGGATTGGGGTTCCAGACAGCCCTGGGGAATCACAGCGTGTTCCCGCCGGGCTCTGCCGCTCCTCAGGGGGGAAATCTCCTTAGGGCAGATTAACATTTCACAGGGGAGCGAACACAGGCGGCGGCCGAGCCCTTCCATGGGCTGGGATTTTCCACCCCGCTGCTGGAAATTTGCATTCGGGCTCAGGCCCAGCCAAAGTTTTCCCGGTTTTTTTGCATGGGAAGAGATTTTTGATTTGCTGGCGGCTCCTTCGTGCCCTCGGCGGAGGCGGGAGCAGGGGCACGTCCCTTCCTTCCTTTCCCCTCCTTTTCCTTTCCTTTTCCCCCTTCTTTCCCCCTCCTTTTCCCCTATTTCCCCTCTTTTCCTCTCATTTTCCCCAATTTTCCTTCCTTTTCCCCTATTCTCCTCTTTTTCCCCTTTTCCCTCCTTTCCCCCTCTTTTCCCCCTCTTTTTCCTCTTTTTCCCCTATTTCCCCTATTTCCCCTCCTTTTCCCCAATTTTCCTTCCCTATCCCCTATTCTCCTCTCTTTCCCCTTTTCCCCCTCCTTTTCCCTCTTTTCCCCTCTCTTTTCCCTCCTCTTTTCCCCCCTTTTTCCCTCATTTTTTCCCCTTTTTCCCCCTTTCCCTCCTCCCCACAACCACCAACATCCCCTCACCAACAACTCCACCCCACTTTGGCGGCTTGGACCAAAATCCTCATTTTCCATATTAAAAACAAAACAGCCCAAACCCAAATCCTCAACCCCACAACCACCAAATCTCCCTCATCCCTGTACTTTTTTATCCCCCCTGAAAACCGCTGCAGATTTGGGGATTTCAGGCTCTTCCCACAGATTTGGGGACTTTGGGCTCTTCCCACCACAGATTTGGGAATTTGGGCTTTTCCCTCAGATTTGGCGATTTCAGGCTCTTCCCACCTCAGATTTGAGGATTTTGGGCTCTTCCTGCAGATTTGGGGATTTCGGGCTCTTCCCGCCGCAGATGGGCTCTTCCCGCCGCAGATTTGGGGGATTTTGGGCTCTTCCCACTGTGAATTTCGGGATTTTGGGCTCTCCCCGGCGCCTTCCCGAGCGCATCCCGGCGCTTTGGTAACTTCCCGTCATGGGAGCCGAGCAGGGCAGGATTTTCGTGCCGTAATCTGCTCCCTAAGCCGGGAGTTTAGCGAGCTGCAGTGCATAAAGGAGAAAGGAGAAAAAGGAGAACGGGGAAACTCCGGCTCTCGGCGGCGGTTTGGGATCCTGCGGCGAAACTTTGGGGTTAAAACGGGGAGAAATGGGGGAAGAAATGGAAACAACTCCAGGTAGGGTTTGGGGCTTTTATTTTTTGTTTTTTATTTGGGGTCCTGCAGTGAAACTTTGGGGTTAAAACAGGGAGAAATGGGGGAAGAAATGGAAACAACTCCAGGCAGGGTTTGGGGTTTTTATTTCCCAGCATTGTGGTGGGAGGGGGAAAAGATCCTTGGGGTTTTTTTGGTGGTTTTTCCCTCAGAAAAGCAACTTTGGGGCTTGTAAAAGGGCAGAGGACTAAAGCTCATTCCAAAAATCAATGGGGCAGCTCCAGCTGCTCCTCAGGGGAAAAGTCAGTTTTTGGAAGGGTCAGAAATATCCCAAACCTGGGGATTTTGAGAAAACTTATCCCATGGGATGGGCATCCCGCTCTCCTGGGTTTTGGGGCACTGGGGACTTGTCCGAGGCGGGAAAATGCAGAAAAAAGCTGTGGAGAACTCACAGGAATATTCAGGGAAAAGCTGTGGAGAACCCACAGGAAAATCTGGGAAAAGCTTTGGAAAATCCACAGGAAAATCCAGGGAAAAACTGTGGAGAATGCACAGGAAAATCTGGGAAAAGCTTTGGAAAATGCACAGGAAATTTCAGGAAAAGCTGTGGAGAGCCCACGGCAGCCCCTGGATAAGGCTGGACTTTAAACCAGGCTTAGTCCTGGCTCAATTGCAGAGCCCCATTCCCTGATTTCCCGATTTTATCCCAGTTTAGTGGGAATTTTGGTTTGGAAAAGGATCCCCAGGCGAGGTTTCATTGTGGGGTCAGGGTTGGGATGTGAGGGTGAGGCTGCACCTCGGATAAATGGGATTTAAATCATTCCTGTCCTGTTCCCCATGGAAATGATCCTGAATATTCCCTGGGAATCCACAGTGGCTGAAATCCCGGAGTTTTCCCATCCTAAAACCTGATTCAAGGAGATCTGGAGCTGATTTTGGGGTGTTTTATGGGATTTGTGCCACTTTTCCCCCTCTCCAAGCAACACCTGCAGCTCCCTGGGGTTTTCTGAGCCGGGTGGAATTCCCAGGAACGCAAAAACCCCAAACAGGAGGAGCTGGGAGGTTGGAATAATTCCCTAAAATCTGTCAGGACAAGGGAAAGAAGCTAAAAAAGCTCTTTCTGCAGGAGAATTCTTTCAGATTTTGGGGTTTCGGGGGTGGCAGAGACCCCAAAATGAGGCCCTGAGGAGGGTGGGGAAGGACAGATCCAATTTTAGAGAGGGAATTTGGGCAGAGCCGGGAGCAGCAACCCCAAAATCAAGCACAGGAATCCAAATCCCAATTTTTCCACCAGAGACCTCAATTTCCAGCAAAATCCCGATTTATTTTTCGTGAAATTTGGGGGTTTTTTTTTGGTAATATTAGGGTTGGCTGAAGGATTGACCAGAATTTCACCCGTTTCATCCCTTTTCCGAGAACAAGCCCAGGCTTAGGGAGCCTGAAACCCTCCAGGCACGGAGCCCAGCCCCAGAATTCCCTGGAATATTCGGAATTACAGGAAGGGATTGGTGGGAATGGCAGCAGGGCTGGACCTTGGCAGCCTTTGGGCTCGGCTCAGAGGGGCTTAAGGGGTTTAAGCAGGCTCAGCCTAAAGGGACATCCTCTCCTTTTGGGCCATGGGCTCATCTGCTTTGGGCAGGAAAAGGGGCACAATTCCCATTTTCCCCCCATTTATCCATGTCATTTCATTCCCTGATTTTTTTAAGTGCTTCATTACCCAATTTAGTTATTCCCAGCTTGGAGAAAAGGAGCATTTTGCCCCAAAATTCCCATTTTCCCCCCCATTTATCCATTTAATTTAATCCCCTGATTTTTAAAGTGCTGCATTACCCAACTTTGTTATTCCCAGATTTTGCCCCAAAATTCCCATTTTCCCTTTTTTTGCCATCCCAAGTGCCCCTCAGGGCCTTTCCCTGCAGGATGGAGGGGGATTTTCCATGGAATTCCAGCACAGGGAATTCGGGATGGGATCACTTGGAGTTCCCCCATTTCCTCAAAACATTTCCCTTCCATTTCTATCCCTTTTTTTTTTGTGATCATCCCATTTTCCATGGAATTCCAGCTCTTTTTCCTACAGGGAATTCGGGATGGGATCACTTGGAGTGCCCCATTCCCTCAAACATTTCCCTGGATTTTCATCCCTTGTTTTGTGATCATCTCATTTTCCATGGAATTCCAGCTTTATCCCACAGGGAATTCAGGATGGGGTTCCCCCATCCCCTCAAACATTTCCCTCCATTTTCATCCCTTGTTTTGTGATCATCTCATTTTCTATGGAATTCCAGCTTTATCCCACAGGGAATTCAGGATGGGGTTCCCCCATCCCCCTCAAACATTTCCCTCCATTTCCACCCCTTTTTTTGCCCCCTTTGGGGCCGTTCCCCCCGGGCCCATCTGGAATTCCAGCACAGGGGAATTTGGGATGGAGCTTCCCCATCCCCTCAAGCATTTCCCTCCATTTCCATCCCTTTTTTTGCCCCTTTGGGGCCGTTCCCCCCGGGCCCATCCCATTTTCCCCGGAGTTCCAGCACATGGAATTCAGGATGGGATGATTCAGAATTCCCCCCATTCCCTCAAACATTTCCCCCATTTCCATCCCTGTTTTTACCCCTCTGGGCCATTCCCAGGGGGCCCATCCCGTTTTTCCCTGGAATTCCAGCACAGTGAATTTGGGATGGGATCATTCAGAATTCCCCCCATTCCCTCAGACATTTCCCTCCATTTCCATCCCTGTTTTTGCCCCCTTGGGCCGTTCCCCCCGGGCCCATCCCGTTTCCCGCCCGGGAATTCCATCGGTTTTTCCCGCAGTGTCCCCGGCCGCGGAGCGGCTCCGGTACATCCTGGGCGAGGAGGACGAGGCGCCCAACCCCAACGCTGTTCACCGAGATGGACACGCTGCAGCGCGACGGCGACGACATGGAGTGGAAGGAGTCGGCCAGGTCAGGGATCCGGGAATGGGGAATGGGGGAAATCCCCGTCCCAAAATGTCCCTGCAGGGAAGCAAGGTTGGGGAACGAGTGTTGGATTTGGGGGGTTAGAAAAGGGCATTTCTGAATGGGGGAAATGGGGGGGAAAATGGGATTTTGAAAATGGAATATCAGGGAATGAGCATTGGGGGAAAAAAGGACACTCCTGAATTGGAAAATGGGATTTTGAAAATGGAATACCAGGGAATGAGTGTTGGATTTAAGGGGGTTAGAAAAGGGCATTTCTGAATGGGGGAAATGGGGTTTTGAAAATGGAATATCAGAGTATGGACATTGTTTATAAGGGTGTTAGAAAATGGCATTTCTGAATTGAGAAAATGCAGGAAAAATGGGATTTCGAAAATAGAATATCAGGGAATGAGAGTTGGATTTAGGGGGTTAGAAAAGGGCATTTCTGAATGGGAGAAAATGCTGGAAAATGGGATTTTGGAGGGTTTGGGAATGGAATGTCATGGAATGAGAGTTGGATTTGGGAGTGTCAGAAAAGAAAATGCTGAAAAATGGGATTTTGAAAATGGAGTATCAGGGAATGAGTGTCAGATTTAGGGGGGTTAGAAAAGGATATTCCTGAATGGGGGAAATGCTGGAAAATGGGATTTTGGGAGGGTTTGAAAATGGAATCCTCGGCAAAGGAATCCCGGGATGCCGATGGCGGCACAAAGGTGTCGCTGGAGCCGTGCCCCAATCCCACAGGGATTCCTGCCCCAATCCCATAGGGAATTCCCTGTCCCAATCCCACCCAATCCCCACAGGGATTCCTGCCCCAATCCCACCCAATCCCGCAGGGATTCCTGCCCCAATCCCACCCAATCCCACAGGGATTCCTGCCCCAATCCCATAGGGAATTCCTGTCCCAATCCCACCCAATCCCGCAGGGATTCCTGCCCCCAATCCCACCCAATCCCACAGGGATTCCTGCCCCAATCCCATAGGGAATTCCTGTCCCAATCCCACCCAATCCCGCAGGGATTCCTGCCCCAATCCCATAGGGAATTCCTGCCCCAATCCCATAGGGAATTCCTGTCCCAATCCCACCCAATCCCACAGGGAATCCTGCCCCAATCCCACAGGGAATCCTGCCCCAATCCCACAGGAATTCCTGCCCCAATCCTAAAGGGATTCCTGCCCCCAATCCCACTCTCCATAATGACCCAAATTCCTTGGAAAACGGGGCAGAAGGCAGAGGAGCAGCGCCCTAATCGGCTTTGGGGGAGCGGCGGCGGCGCTGGGCGGGGAGTTTGAATTCCATCCCAGGAAAGAGGAAGGGTTGGAGATCGGGATTCTCCAGAGAAATCAGGGATGGGAGGTGTGGGGTGGGGCTCTGTCAGGGCTTTTCCTCCACCCCACAGCTCCCAGATCCCACAGGAGCGATTTGAGGAGGGATAAATCCATGGATTTGGGTTTCCTGCTGGGACTGGGAGCTTCTCCTTCCCCCCACAGCTCCCAAACCTCTCAGGAGCAATTTGAGGAGGGCAAAATCCATGGATTTGGATTTCCTGGTGGGATTGGAAGTTTTCCTCCATCCCACATCTCCCAAATCCCACAGATACAATTTGAGGAGGGATGAATCCATGGATTTGTGTTTCCTGGTGGGATTGGGAGCTCTTCCTCCATCCCACATCTCCCAAATCCCACAGATACAATTTGAGGAGGGATAAATCCATGGGTTTGGGTTTCCTGGTGGGATTTGGAGCATTCCCTCCCTCCACAACCCCACGGGCAGCACTTTTGGGAATGCTCCACCAGATCCTCCCTTCCCACCCTGGATAACGAGCGAGAACCCTGTGAGATGAATCAATCCAGGCTCTCCAAGCAGGGAAACTCCCCAGGAAGGAAAAGCCGTTCCCAGCTCCTCACACCTGCCCCGTCCTGCTCCCGTTCCAGGTGGATCAAGTTCGAGGAGAAGGTGGAGGAAGGCGGTGAGAGGTGGAGCAAGCCCCACGTGTCCACGCTGTCCCTGCACAGCCTCTTTGAGCTGCGGACGTGTCTCCAGACAGGAACGGTGCTCCTGGACCTCGACGGATACTCCTTGCCCCAAATTATTGGTAGGAGCCCCTGGAGGTTTTTTCCCCCATGTCCTAAAATGGTGGGAATGGATTGAAATACTTTTTTTTCTCCTGGATTTGTCCAGGAATGAGCAAAGGGAGGAGTTGGGAGCCATCAGCTGCTCCCAGAAATGTTGTGTTGAGGTTTTGGGGGGTCTGGGGGTCGTTGCTGAAGCAGCAGATTCTGGGGGGAATTTTGGGGTCACCCCTGGATCACCATGGATGGGTGTGTGCAGGTGATGTCATCGAGGAGCAGATTGAGGACATTTTGGGGACATTTTGGGGACATTTTGGGGAGGGTTTGAGGGTCACCACGGCAGACGATGTCATCGAGAAGCAGATCAAGGATGGGATATTTTGGGGACATTTTGGGGAGGTTTTGGGGATGTTCTTGGAGTCACCATGGCTGCATTTTGCAGACGATGTCATCGAGAAGCAGATCGAGGATGGGACATTTTGAGGACATTTTGGGGATGTTCTTGGGGACATTTTGGGGGGGTTTTGGGGGTCACCACGGCCGTGTGTTTTGCAGACGATGTCATCGAGAAGCAGATCGAGGACGGGCTGCTGAAGCCGGAGCTGCGGGAGAAGCTCAGCTTCGTCCTCCTGCGCAAGCACCGGCACCAGACCAAGAAGCCGATCCACCGCTCGCTGGCCGACATCGGCAAATCCGTGTCCTCCAACACCGGTGAGCGCCGGGCAGGGACGGGGAACCGGGGCTGGGACACACCCGGGAGGGCGGGAGGGGGCCCAAAACTCTGCCCTGGTGGGGGTGGGGGTCAGTGGGAGGTGGGGACAAGGAGGTTCTGGGGACAGGGACAGTGTGGGACAGGGACAGCGCCGTGTGAGGGATGTGGCTGCGGCAGGGACAGTGTCACCGTTTGGTGACGTCATTGAGTGATGGCATCGTTGTGTGAGGGGCAAGATCACAGTGTGATGGTAATGTCAGTGTGTGGTGATGTCATCGTGTGATGGCATCATCGTGTGATGACATCACCGTGTGAGGACAATGGCACTGTGTGAGGATATCATTGTGTGATGACATCATTGTGTGATGACACCACTGTGTGGTGACAATGCCACTGTATTATGACATCACCATGTGAGGACAATGGCACTGTGATGACATCACTGTGATGACAATGGCAATCTGTGATGACATCACTGTGGAAACAATGGCACTGTGTGATGATGCCACCATGGGGCCAAGGTCACTGTGTGGCATCAATGTCATTGTGGGATGACATCACAGTGGTGACAATGACTGTGTGATGATGTCACTGTGGGGGTCAGTGGTACTGTGTGATGACATCACAGTGGGGCAATAGGTGATGATGACATCACCATGTGTTGATGACGTCACTGTATGATGATGACGTCACCGCGCGCTGGCGCCACACAAGGACGGTGGCACCCGCCGGCGCCGGGCTCGGTGCCGCTGGGCTTTGCTGGCGCGGCGGCCGCAGACAAATCCGGTCTGGCCGCGGCTGATCCCGCTGTCCCTGCCCTTACAAAAGGGGATTTGGGCCCGTTCCCGATTGTTCCCGCGGGTTTAGCGGGAGGTCACTCGCTGCTGCAGGCTGGGGTTGGTCGCCAGCAGCTCCTGGAGCATCCTGGTGTTCCCTGTGGGGTCCGGTCCTGACATTCCCAATGGGATTCTGCCCCACATTCTAACGGGATCCTGTCCCCACATTCCCAATGGATCCTGCCCTGATATTCCCAATGGGATCGCGTCCCCACATTCCCAACGGGATCCTGCTCCTGATGTTCCCTATGGGATCTTTCTCCTGATGTTCGTTCCCCACATGATCCTGTCCCCACATTCCCACAGGATCCCACCCCACATTCCCACAGGATCCCATCCCCACATTCCCACAGGATCCCACCCCACATTCCCACAGGACCCCACCCCACATTCCCACAGGATCCCTCCCCACATTCCCACAGGATCCCATCCCCACATTCCCACAGGATCCCATCCCCCATTCCCACAGGATCCCACCCCACATTCCCACAGGATCCCCTCCCCACATTCCCACAGGATCCCCTCCCCACATTCCCACAGGATCCCACCCCACATTCCCACAGGATCCCATCCCCACATTCCCACAGGATCCCCACCCCACATTCCCACAGGATCCCACCCCACATTCCCACAGGATCCCATCCCCACATTCCCACAGGATCCCATCCCCACATTCCCACAGGATCCCACCCCATCTCACCCTCTCCCCTCTCTCTCCCCAGCCCGCAGCCCCGTGCGGGGCCCGGCTGCCGGCGCCGCCTTCCACCGCTCCACCGAGGACCTGCGGCTGCGGCAGAGCACCAGCTACGGCCGCCTGCGTGAGTGGGGCAGGGCACCGGCACTGACCCGGGCACCACAGCATGCCCTGGGGCACCACAGACTGCCCTGGGGCACCAAATGATTCCCTGGGGCACCACAGACTGCCCTGGGGCACCAAATGATTCCCTGGGGCACCAAATAATTCACTGGGACACCAAATAATTCACTGGGGCTCCACAGCCTTCCCTGGGACACCAAATAATTTATTGGGGCACCACAGCCTTCTCCAGGGCACCACAGCATAACCTGGGACACCACAGCACTTTCTGGGACACGAAATAATTAAATGGGACACCAAATAATTCTCTGAAAACTAAACAGTTCCCTAGAGCACCAAATAATTCACTGGGATACCACAGCCTTCCCTGGGACACCAAATTATTCCCCAGGACACCACATTATTCTCTGTGACACCATATCATTCCCTGGAAATCCAAATAGTTCCCTGGGACACCAAATGATTCCCTGGGATACCAAATGATTCCATGGAACACCAAATAATTCCTTGAAAACCAAATAATTCCCTGGAGCACCAAATTCCCAGCCCCAGGGGCAGAGTGGGGGGTTGCAATGAGGTCCCACCACAGAAGTGCAGCAGGGATTTGGGATGAGCCGGTGTGGGGTGCAGGAAAAGATTCCTTGGAGTCTTTAGGGAGGGAGGGAACGGCGCTGGAAGAGGGAGGGAATCCTGAAAGATTGCTGGGCTGGGAGAGGGCAGCTGGGACATCCCAAAGGAACCCTGGTTTGTGTGGCCGAGACTGGAAACGGGCCCATCTATGGAGCTTTGGGATCATCAGGGCTGGAAAAGCCCTCTGAGATCAGGGAGCACCACGGTGTCCCCAAGTGCCACATCCAGAGGGTTTCTGGGCCCTTCCAGGGATGGGGACTCCATCACTGCCCCCTTCCCACCCTTTCACAGGAGGAATTTCCCCTAATTCCCGCGTTTTCATGGCACTGCTGCTGCTTTGCAAGCCCAGACACCATCACCAATATTTTATTTCTTGTCACAAACTCCCCTCACTGGGTTTTCTCCTGGCTCCTGGGGCGGCTTTTCCCTTTTCCTCACCCTCCCTCCCTTCCCTCCAGGTCACGCCCAGAGCCGGAGCATGAACGACATCTCGGACACCCCGAGCACTGACCAGGTACCCAAAATCCCAAATTCCCAAAATCCCAAACCCCAGCACGATCCCTGCTGGGTGTCGGGTCCATGTGAGCCGCGGCTGGGTCGATGCCCACACAAACTCCTAATTAGGGCAGTTAATTGCTGTATTGATCGCCGTGGGGAAGCTGCCCCAGAGGTGACACCCGAGCTCTCAGCACGGGGTGAGGGACGAGCCAGGAGCCCAAATCCACCAGGGTGGGGCAGAAATTCCCTCCACATCTGCAGGGAGCTGCTTGGAAATGTGGGAATCCTAAAGGGAGAGGGTGGCAAATCCCATCCGAGCTCTTAAATGCAGCTCTGGGGGTGAGGGGCTGGGATTTGGGGTGGGATTTGCTTTTTCTGAGGTTCCCCAATGCAAAGCTCAGCCCAGAGGCCTTGGGGGGCTTTTCCTTGTGGGGTTGCTTTCAGGAGGAGCTGGGGATGGGATGGATCAGTGGGATTTTTGTCCCCTTCCCATCCCAGATTTTTCTGGGAATGGCTGGTTCCCTGTATGAGCTTTGCTTTGTTTCTGTTCCTGATTTCACCATAAACCAAAGGCAGAATCACCGACCCTGGGGGATTTTCAGGAATGGGATGGGATTACAACTTCCTTTGGGGTTTTAGGGAATGGGATGGAATAACAGCTTTTTTTGGGGTTTAGGGAATGGGATGGGATGGGATGGAATAACCACTTGCTTTGGGTTTTTAGGGAATGGGATGGGATGGGATGGGATAACCACTTCCTTTGGTTTTTTAGGGAATGGGATGGGATTACAACTTCCTTTGGGTTTTTAGGGAATGGGATGGGATAACCACTTGCTTTTCCCCTGGGATGTCCTCACTGGTCTTACCTGGGGTGATGCCCTTTAGGGCAAGCCCAATCACAATAAATAATGTTTGATTCCCTTGGATTTCATGGATGGAAATCCACGTTCTGCAGGGAGCCAGGGGACAGGGACACCACCTGAAATGACTCCATCCCAGTGGTGCCCAGTCAGGAACCCCAAATATCCCCTCCAGCAATGGGGTTCGGAGGGTTAATCCCAAAATATGCAAAGCATTTAGGTTTAATCACCCTATTAGGCCCACTACAAAGGGACTTTTTAAGTGTTACACGAAGCTTAGTGGCCGCTGGTAACTCCTGCTCTTATTCCGAGCAGAACTGGAGGAGTTGCTTTATTATTATTATGATTTTTTTTTTTTTTTCCATTTGGATTTAGAAGATTAGGCCGGGGCGAGGCGGCTGCCCGGCTCACATGCCTGCCCTCATGCTGCCATATAGATTATCATAACTCCCTGCCTGGCTGCCTATTGAACCCTTTTAGGCTGCAATGAAAAGAGCTGCAGGGGAGAAGAGACCTGGGGAATAAATCCATGGATGAGGTTTTCCTCCTCCCATTATTGTTCCAGCTCCCACAACGGGGCTGGGGAGGCACAAAAACCTCCCCCATGCTGGGCTTGGGGGTTCTGTGCCATGAGGAGATGGAAATAAACTCTAAAAATGTTCCTGGCTCGCTGCAGCACCCCTGGGGTTGGCTCAGGTTTTCCACAGGGGCGTTTCAGGGAGTTTTCCTTGCAGAGAATCCAGGAGAGCAAAAGCAAACGTTGCTGGTTGGGTGGTGGAGCCCTGGGGGTGCAGTTTAGTCTCAGTTTTTGCCACGTTTCTGAAGAAATTTGGCTTCTTTTTCCTGGCTCCTCAGTCCTCACCTCTGGGAGTCCTGGGACAACCAGAGGTGAAATCTTGGAGCCTGAAGCTCCAATTTTGGTGGGGAAAAAATAGGGGGAAAATCCAAATTTTGGCAACCGCTCCCTTCCTCGATCTCGTCTTTGCCGACAGCTGAAGAACAAGTTCATCAAGAAGATCCCCAAGGACGCCGAGGCCTCCAACGTGCTGGTGGGGGAGGTGGAGTTCCTGGAGAAACCCTTTGTGGCCTTTGTGAGGCTGCTCCAGGCCACCATGCTGGGCGGGGTGACCGAGGTGCCCGTCCCCACCAGGTGAGCGCTGCCCCTGGAAGGGCGTGGTGGCACCAGGGCTCCCAGGTGGCCAACACGGCTCCTCTTCCTCCCCAGGTTCCTCTTCATCCTCCTCGGCCCGGCGGGAAAGGCCAAATCCTACAACGAGATCGGCAGGGCCATCGCCACGCTCATGGTGGACGATGTGAGTGGAGGCCACCCCAGCCCTCGTGTGGGACCCAGAACCCAGCAAAAAAATCAATTTCCACTTTATCACCCCAAAAATTGAGATTGAAACCCCCAGGAGGACGTGGGGCTGGAGGTGACCCTGTCCCGTGTCCACCCCCAGCTCTTCAGCGACGTTGCCTACAAGGCCCGGGACAGGGAGGACCTGATCGCCGGCATCGACGAGTTCCTGGACGAGGTCATCGTCCTCCCGCCCGGCGAGTGGGACCCCAACATCCGCATCGAGCCCCCCAAAAAAGTGCCCTCGGCTGAGAAGAGGTGGGTGGGGCTGCACCAGCCCGCGGCCACGCCCGCGTCCAGTTCTGGGGGGCAGAGCCTCGCTTGGCTGCATCCCTGGAAGTGACGCCTCCAGACGTCCCAGACACGCTGGGTTTGCAGCAGGGTTTGATCCCAGCTCGGCTCAGAGCCGTTTCCACCCTCCTGGGGCAGGGGGAGGTGACCCTGCCCTGGGCAGGAGTTGAACTGGATCATCCTTGGGTTGGAGTCCCTCCCAACCCAACCCAACCCAACCCAACCCAATCCAATCCAATCCAATCCTACCCAACCCGTGGCTCCACAAACTGACCAAACCCAGCTCTGAATCTGCCCAAATTCACCCCAAAACCCACACTCAGTGCAAGCTCAGAGCTGCACCACAGCCTTGGCCATGGTCCTCACACCGGGGCCATGTGCCCATCCAGCGGTGCCAACCTGGCAGCAGTGCCAATATGGCAGTGTTGATCGAATGGCGTCGATCCAGCAGTGCTGATCCGGTGGCACCAGTGTGGCAGTGCTGATGTGGCAGTGCCAATCTGGTGGTGCTGATCCAATGGCACCAATCCGGTGGTGCCCATCCAGCGGTGCCAACGTGGCAGTGCTGATCCAGTGGTGCCAATCCAGTGGTGCCCACCTGGCAGTGCCAGAGGTGGTGCCAGTCCGGTGGTGCTGATCCAGTGGTGCCCATCCGCCGGTGCCAATGTGTCGGTGCCAACGTGTCGCGCAGGAAGTCGGTGTTCTCGCTGAACGAGGTGGGGCAGATGAACGGCGCGGCCGGCGGGGCGGGCGCCGGGGGCGGCGGCGGCAGCGACGATGGGGAGATGCCCGAAGTCCACGAGATCGGGGAGGAGCTGGCCTGGACCGGCAGGTGAGCCGGGAACCACCCCCAGAACACCTCCAGAAGGTGCCAGAATCCATTGGCGTCTCCTGTGGGCTCATCCTGGGGTGAAACCCTGGTGGGAAGGGGTTTTGTCAGCACCAGATCTATTTATGTGTCAATATATAAATTATATTTATGTAGCAATATTTATAAATCTCCCAGCTGGCCAGAGGAGCTGTGGATCCCCAGAAGTGCCCAAGGCCAGGCTGGACAGGGCTTGGAGCAGCCTGGGACAGTGGGAGCTGTCCCTGCCATGGCAGGGGTGGGATGGGATGGGATTTAAGGTCCTTCCCAACCCAAACCTCTCCAGGACTCCAGGATTCTGTTTTGGTGGAAGTCACCAGGTGTTGGTGTCACCTTGGTGGTGTCTCCGCAGGTTTTGTGGTGGCCTCTACCTGGATATCAAGAGGAAGCTGCCCTGGTTCCCCAGCGACTTCTACGAAGGTTTCCATATCCAGTCCATCTCCGCCATCCTCTTCATCTACCTGGGCTGCATCACCAACGCCATCACCTTCGGGGGGCTGCTGGGGGACGCCACCGACAACTACCAGGTGTGGCCCAGGTGTCACCGGCCTGGGGACAGGCAGGGGTGGGATCAGTGGGATGGGATCCATGGGATGGGATCAGTGGGATGGGATGGGATGGGATGGGATCAGTGGGATGGGATGGGATCCATGGAATGGTAGAGGATGGGATTCATGGAATAGGATGGGATGGATGGGATCCATGGGATGAGATCCATGGGATTGGGATGGGATCAGTGGAATTGGGATGGGATGGCATGGGATGGGATCCATGGGATGGGATGGGATGGGATTGATGGGATCCATGGGATTGTAATGGGATCCATGGGATGGATTTTACCCCACTTGTGCCATGCCAAGCTTCTGGGGATGGACGTTCTCTGCCAGGTGGGATGGGCAGCCCTGGAGCCCCGGAATCCCTCCATGGCAATGCCAGGAGCAATGGGACACGGTCCCAACCATCCCGAGCGGGTCCCTCAGCCCCATCTCCATCGGGGGGTCCGTGGGGACGTGGCATGGCCTGGCACCCCCGTGATGCCCCCTCTGCTCCGTCCCCAGGGGGTCATGGAGAGCTTCCTGGGCACGGCCATGGCCGGCTCCATGTTCTGCCTCTTCGCCGGGCAGCCCCTCATCATCCTCAGCAGCACCGGCCCCATCCTCATCTTCGAGAAGCTGCTCTTCGACTTCAGCAAGTGAGTGCTGGCCCACGCCAGGGGACACCAGGGCCTGTCCCCACGGGGCTGGGACGTGTCCCCAGTGCCCAGCTGCTCTCACAGGGCCGCCTGTCCCCTCTTCCAGAGGCAACGGGATCGACTACATGGAATTCCGCCTGTGGATCGGGCTGCACTCGGCCCTGCAGTGCCTTATCCTGGTGGCCACCGACGCCAGCTTCATCATCAAGTACATCACGCGCTTCACCGAGGAGGGCTTCTCCACCCTCATCAGCTTCATCTTCATCTACGACGCCATCAAGAAGATGATCGGGGCCTTCAAGTACTACCCCATCAACTCGGACTTCAAGCCCGACTACGTGACCATGTACAAGTGCGAGTGCGTGGCCCCCGACCCAGGTGAGTTCACCCCGGGGCCGCCCGGGCAGCAGCCGGGGGTGGGAGGGTCCTGGCGTGGATCAGTCCCGGCCCAGCACGTGGGAGGAGGAGGCAGCTGGGCTGGAGACGCCTGGAACTCATCGTCCTCCCCCGAGGGGGCTGTGGAGATGGAGGAAGAGCCTCGTCCCCCTTGGATGAACTTCTGGGACACAGCGGATGGAGAGTTGGGATCTCAGCCTGGAGCAGCCAGACCTGGATGGATAAAGAGGAATTATGGAAGAAAGAAAAGGACATTTTGGGTGATTCCTGCCTGCTGCTGATGGAAACTGAGTCTCCAGGGAACACCTGGAGAGGTTCTGTGCTCTGCGGTGTCTGGGACACCCCGGGATGTCCCAGCTGGGTGTGGAAACCTCCATGGACCGTTTTCCTCCTTTTTCCACTCCTCCTCCAAAAGGAGAGGCCATCGGGCCCTGAGCTGAAGGTCCTTCCATGGTTTTGCTCTTGGGGAGATGTCCTGGATGATCCCAGATCTGAACTTGGAGCTCCTGGAAGGGAGCAGAGACGGCTTCGGGCTCACGGCAGCGAGCGGCTGCTCCCCCAGGAGCTGAATTATGTCAAAAATCCAAATTCTGGGGAGCACCAGCTGCAGCCAGAGGAGACTGACAGTGGGTGGAGGTGAAGGCGGATGAAGATGACGGTGAAGGAAGACCATGGTGGATGAAGATGATGATGGATGAAGGTGACAGTGGATGAAGGTCACAATCAATGAAGACGGTGGATGAAAATGATGATGGATGAAGATGATGGTGGATGAAGGTCACGGTGGATGAAGATGATGGTGAAGTTCTGCCCGTCTCCTTCCTTCAAGAGCAGCACCCAAGCCCCTCCACCCAAGGCATTCCCAACACATCTGGCACTCCAAGGAGAGCTCTCAGCCCGTGGCACTCGCAGCCTTTGGGTTGAATTTCACATTTTTCCTCCACTCCTGCTCATCCACCCCTCGTGAGCGCCGCGACCCCACTGGGAGCCGGGACCCCAGAGCAGCACCAGAACCAATTCCTGCCCCCACCCCGACCCGCAGAGAGCGAAGCCGGAGCCCCCAGAGCCGGAATTCCGGGACGGAGCCGTGAGCACCCCCGGGAGGAGCCTTCAGCCTCCAGGGAGGTCTCCCCCAAGCCCCCACCCCGAGCAGCCCGGAGGCATCTGCACCCCAATCCCCGATCCCGCTCCTCCCCTGGCTGCCCGAGGCAGCCGTGTCCAGGCTGGATTTAAAATCCCCCTAGAAATTATGTTTATTTCCCTCTCCATCCTTAATTTTTTTTTAATTCCCTTTTTTTTTTCCATCCCTGCTGATTTTTGATTATTTTAACTGATTTGTCCCATATTTGTCTCTGCTGCACACATCAATTGGGGCTGATTTCAATCTCAAGTGAGTATCACCTTCTAAATATTAAAACTATTTTAATATTTGATACTCTCCCCCCTCGGGGGGGTTCCATTGTTATTTTTTTTTTTTCCATGTATTTGACTTTTCTCTCTCTCTAAAAAGGTTTGTGTGGAGCCCTCAGGGCTCCTCTGTTAACCCCACCGGTGCCGTGCCGCCCTTTAAAGGCATAGAACCCCCAAAATAGGGTTTGTGGAAAGAGAAAAGGTTGTGGAGGAGAGAAATGAGAACAAACCCGATGTTTTTAGGGCTGAGTTTGTCCCCAGAGCTCGGTCCCGGCAGCCCTGGGCTCTCTGTCCTGACCCAGCTCTCCCTCATTAACCCCGGCGCCGGGGCCGGAGGCGGCGGCCGAAGAGGATGGAAGAGGGGGCGGCCAAGCCATCCCAGAATTCCTGAATTCCCAAATTCCCTCTTTTAGGGGCACCCCGAGACAGCCCGGGGGTGCTCCCGGAGCCGCGGAGCCGCGTCGCTGAAGAGCCGAGGAGGAGAAGGTGCCGGGGGCTCGGAAAGACGGAATTTTGCACCAAAGACACCAAAACACCCCCAAACTATTTTTTAAAAAAAATTAATAATAATTTTAAAAAGGCAAATCGAGTGTGATTTGGGGTGATTTGGGTGTCATCTCTCAAAAAAAAAAAACAAAAATAAAACCACGTGAGGGTGCTTTCCCAGCTTTCCACCATGGTGGTTTTAAGTCTGCCTTGTTCCTGGCAGCTTCCTTGGGAAGCTCTTGGGAAATTTTAGGAACTGGGAAGCTCCTGGAAATTTTAGGAACTGGGAAACTCCTGGAACTGGGAAATTTTAGGAACTGGGAAGCTCCCAGAAATTTTAGGAACTGGGAACTCCTGAAATTCCCCTCTGGCCCAGCCCCACAGGGAGAAGCTGCCGCAGGAGCCGCCGCGTCCTCCCCGGCGCGCGGGATTAATCAGGGAGAAGTTAGAAAAAGGGGGATTTGCCCCCAAAATGCGGGGATGCCGATCCCTGGCGGGCTCGGCAGGCCAAGCCCAGCTGGGGTTTAACCCCCAGAGCTCGGGTTTAGCCCCAAAGCCTCAATAACCGACTCCTCTCCCGCAGCCAACGCCACCTTGTTCGATGCTTCAGCGCCAGTGGCACCCAACAGCACTAACGTGTCTCTGGTAAGGACTGGGAGCTGCTCAGCCCTGGGGAAATGTGGGATCAGGGAGGGGGAACTGAGGGATTCCAGCACCCAGGAGTGGGATGGGCCAGCTCGGAGCGAGGGGAACTCAAATTGGGGTTTTTTTCCCCAAAATTTGTATCAGCTCTGAGGGTTTGGGTATCCCCAGAACTCTGGAAATTCACCTTTCCTTATGTGCTGAAATGGCTCAAAGTGTTCTTGTTGGGGTTCGAGCAGGAAATTTCCCTGTTTTGCAAAAATGCTGGTTTTGCTCAAATTCAGTTATGAAATCCCATTTTTCTTGCACAGCGTGATCCTAAAAGTACAAATCTGGGGTTTGGACAAGAGATTTCCCTTTTCCTGCACATTGCAATCCCTTAAAGCACAAATTTGGGGTTTGGACAGGAAATTTCCCTTTCCTTCCACACTGTACCTTAAAAATACCACCTGTGCTGGATTTGGGCTGAAACCCCCCCTTTCCCTGCACACCACAATAATTCTTAATTTCACTAATTTTGCTTTTTTTTGGGTTTCTTGCCAGTCCAATGCTCTCAACCTCACAGCTCTGGACTGGACCCAGCTGAGTAAGAAGGAATGTCTCAAATACGGCGGCAGCTTAGTGGGAAAATCCTGCAAATTCGTGCCCGACCTGGCCCTCATGTCCTTCATCCTCTTCTTTGGCACCTACTCCATGACCCTGACCCTGAAAAAATTCAAATTCAGCCACTACTTCCCCACCAAGGTAAGGAGAGAACCAAATCCTGCAGATCCTTTCCCAAAAATGAGGGGAAACGGGAACTGCTGGGAGGTTTGGGAAGGTTGGAAGCAGAGAACTCCAGGAAAATAAATCCCTGGTTTTAGGAGGGTTTGGCCATGATTGGGGTCCTCCCCGAGGTTCTAGACCCTGATTTTTATGGCATCCTCCTCTCTGAACTGGAGTTGGGTTAATGGTGGACAATTAACGGGTGGACAATTAATGAACAAGAATTTGTGGGATGATGGATGAGGGATTTGTGGGATGATGGATGAGGAATGGGTGGAATCATGGATGAGGGATTTGTGGGATGATCCCACCCACAGGGAAGTGGTGACCAGCCCAGAGTCTGATGGACATCAGTGACCAGTAGTGACCAGGGCTCCCATCAGGGCCAGCATTAATTAATGTTCTCATTAACGATGGAAACAAAGGGGTTTGCAGGTGACACCAAGGGACAATTCCGGAGGATGGGGACATCCACAGAGACCTTGACAAGCTCCCTTCCCACCCCATAAATCCCCTTCCCCTCCCATTAATTCCCTTCCCACCCCATAAATCCCCTTCCCATCCCATTAATTCCCTTCCCACCCCATTAATTCCCTTCCCACCCCATTATTTATCCTTCCCACCCCGTTAATCCCACTTCCAACCCCGTTTCCCTGTCTTGCCTCCAGGTCAGGGCTTTCATTGCTGATTTTTCCAATGTCTTCTCCATCCTGCTCTTCTGTGGAGTGGACGCCTGCTTTGGACTGGACACCCCCAAACTCCACATCCCCAGTATCATCAAGGTTGGGTCTCCTCTCCTCTCCTTTCTTCTCCCACGCTCTATTTCCAGGTTCTTTTGGGAATCTCGCAGCTCCAGGCACTGTCTGAAAAGCTACTTCAACCTTTCTAACAATACTCTAATTTTCTGACTTTCTTTCCTCTCTTTTTTTGTTGTTTTTCCTCCCTTTTTGTTGTTTTCCCTCCTTTTTTGCCATTTTCCCTCCCTTTTTTGCCATTTTTCCTCTCCTTTTTGCTGTTTTTCCTTTTTTGCCATTTTTCCTCCCTTTTCTTTCTCTCTCCCCCCCTGGCTGGCAGCTCCGTAAGCTCATTAGCGATTTCTCCATCTTTATGTCCATACTAATGTTTGTGGGGCTGGATGTGCTTTTTGGACTCAACACCCCAAAGCTCCAAGTGCCTACCGACTTCAAGGTAAAAACCCAAAATTCCACAGAACCCCATTCCAGAAGGATTTCTCCTCTCCCAGCCAGGGGGTGACCTGGGGATCCCAGTGAAGATCCCAGTGGGGATTCCAATGGGGGCCCCAATGGAAAACCCAATGAGGATCCCAGTACGGATCCCAGTGAGGATCCCAATGGAAACCCCAGTGGGGACCCCAATATGGATCCCAGTGGGGACCCCAATGGGGATCCCAATGGAGAACCCAAATGAAAATCCCAATGAGGACCCCAGTGGGGATCCCAGTGTAAACCCCAGTGAGGATCCCAATACAGATCCCAGTGAGAATTCCAATGGGGATCCCAATGGGGAACCCAAATGGAAATCCCAATAAAGATCCCAGTGAGGACCCCAATGGGGATCCCAATGGAGATCCCAATAGAAACCCCAAGGAGGATCCCAATAGGGGTCCCAGTGAGGATCCCAATGATGATCCCCATGAAGATCCCAATGGAAATCCCAACAAGAATCCCAAAGGAATTCCCAACAAGGATCCCAGTGAAGATCCCAATAGAAACCCCAGTGAGGATCCCAGTGACAATCCCCATGAAGATCTCAATGGGGATCCCAGTGGAAATCCCAACAAGGATCACAGTGAAGATCCCAACAGAAATCCCAATGGGGATCCCAATCATGGACCCCAAGGAGGATCCCAGTGATGATCCCCATGAAGATCCCAATGGGGATCCCAACAAGGATCTCTCCCAACGGGGATCCCAATGAGGATTTGGGGGCTGTTTGGAGCACGAGATTTAGGATGGATCCGGGACAGGGCTGTCCCCAAACGCCACCCCTTGGGTTCTCCCAACCCGTGCCCCGTTGCCGAGGTTCCGACCCCGCTGTCCTCCCCAGCCCACGCGCGTGGACCGGGGCTGGTTCGTGTTCCCCTTCGGCAAGAACCCGTGGTGGGTGTACCTGGCCAGCGCCCTGCCCGCCCTGCTGGTCACCATCCTCATCTTCATGGACCAGCAGATCACGGCCGTCATCGTCAACAGGAAGGAGCACAAGCTGAGGGTGAGAGCCCCGGGGATCCCCCACAGCACCCAGGGCACCCCGGGATCCCCCCAAAGCACCCAGGGCACCCCAGGATCCTCTACAGCACCCCATGGATCCCCCAAATCACCCAGGTTTGGGGTGGGATCAGGGGCTGCCCCTGGCCTCAGCCAGCTGCGGGTTTGGGGTGATGGAGGGCCTGGGGGTGAAGTTCTCTGGGTAACAGGGTGCAGAGGGGTGATATGGGGTGACACAGTGGGATGTGGGGTGATATGGGGTGACACAAGGTGCCCCATGTCAGTGTGGGGCACACCATGGTGACACCGGGTGCCCCATGTCTATATGGGGTACATCAAGGTTACACCAGGTGTTTGGGGTGACACCAGGTGCCCCAAGGCCCTGCCTGTGGGACACCCCCAGGGCAGAGCCCCCCGTGCAGAGCCCCCCGTGCTGTGTTGCAGAAGGCAGCCGGGTACCACCTGGACCTCTTCTGGGTGGGCATCCTGATGGCCGTGTGCTCCTTCATGGGGCTGCCCTGGTACGTGGCCGCCACCGTCATCTCCATCGCCCACATCGACAGCCTCAAGATGGAGACCGAGACCAGCGCGCCGGGGGAGCAGCCCCAGTTCCTGGGGGTCAGGTGGGCCTGAGAGGGGTCCTGGAGCTGGGGGGACATCCCTGTCCTGGGAGGGGACAGCAGGGATTGTCGTTCACGGGGACACCAAGGACAGGCAGGGATTGTCCTGTCCTGAGGACATCAGGGTGTGGCAGGAGTTGTCAATTGTCCCATTCCCACTGGTGGTTCTCGGTTCCTCGGGGGTTCCTCGGGCTGACCCTGCTCGTGTCCCCTCTCCAGGGAGCAGAGGGTCACCGGCATCATCGTCTTCGTGCTCACGGGCATTTCGGTTTTCCTGGCTCCTATCCTGAAGGTAAAAATCCCATTCCCCCTCCCTGCAGAGGTTTGGGGACATGGGGACAACAGCTGGGTCCTGTCCCGTCCTGGTGACCTCCAGCGCTGTCCCTGTCCCTGGGGAGGAGCCGCTGCCTTCCCCGGGTCAGGCTGTGCTGTTCCCTGTTCCCAGTACATCCCCATGCCGGTGCTCTACGGCGTCTTCCTCTACATGGGCGTGGCATCGCTCAACGGCATCCAGGTGAGTGCCCTTCCTCCTCAGCATCCTCCTCATCCTCGTCCTCTTCATCTTCTTCAAGGTTGTCCTCATTCTCCTCATGCTCTGTCTTCATCCTCATCCTCCTTATCCCCATCCTCCTACTCTTCATCCTTGTCATTCTCCTCCTTCTCATCATCCTCATCCTCCTTCTCCTCCTCATCCTTGTTGTTCTCCTCCTCCTTCTCTTCATCCTCCTCCTCCTCCTCACTGACCACAGACTGTCTCCAAAAGGAGGATTTTTACTCCAAAATTTCCATGTATGGGACAGCAGACACCCAAAACCCTCCCAGAAACACCAAAACCCCACAAATTCCCCATTCGGGGGGGATGAAAATAGGGTTTTCCTGGGCAGCCTGTGGGGTGGGGCTGAGGATTAACCCTGGCCTTCCTCCCGGGCAGTTCTGGGATCGCTGCAAGCTCTTCCTGATGCCGGCCAAGCACCAGCCCGACTACGTGTTCCTGCGGCACGTCCCGCTGCGCCGCATCCACCTCTTCACGCTGGTGCAGATCGTCTGCCTGGCCGTGCTCTGGATCCTCAAATCCACCGTGGCCGCCATCATCTTCCCCGTCATGGTAACCCCATCCTCCATCCAAAGGGGTTTTTTTGGGATTTTATGGAATTTTTGGTGTGGTCCCACCATGGCCGCCATCATCTTCCCCCTCATGGTAATCCCATCCTTGATCCAAAGGGTTTTTTTGGGATTTTTGATGTGGTCCCACCATCATCATGTTCTCCATCACGGTAATCCCATCCTCCATCCAGAGGGTTTTTTTGGGATTTTATGGAATTTTTGGTGTGGTCCCACCATGGCTGCCACCATCTTCCCCATCATGGTAATCCCATCCTACCTTGGAAGGGTTTTTTGGGATTTTTGGCATGGTCCCACCATCATCTTCCCCATGATGGTTATCCCATCCTTGATCCAAAGGGGTTTTTTGGGATTTCTGGCATGGTCTCATCATGGCCACCATGATGTTTCCCATCATGGTGATCTCATCCTACCTTGGAAGGGTTTTTTAGGATTTTTGGTGTGGTTCCACCATGTTTGCCATCATCTTCCCCATCATGGTAATCCCATCCTTGATCCAAAGGGTTTTTTGGGATTTTTGGCATGGTTCCATCATGCCGCCATCATGTTCCCCATCATGGTAGTCCTATCCTCACCCCAAAGGAGTTTTTTTGGGATTTAAGAAGATTTTGGCAGTCCTACCATGGCCACCATCATCTTCCCCATCATGGTAATGCCATCCTTGATCCAAGTGGGATTTTTTGGGATTTAATGGAATTTTTGGCCTGGTTCCACCATGGTCGCCATCATTTTCTCCATCATGGGTAATCCCATCCTCGCTCCAAAGGGTTTTTTGGGATTTAAGGGATTTTTGGCTTGGTGGTCACCACCAGACCTTGGGCTGAGCTGCTCCTGGACCTCTCCCCTGTCAGATCTTGGCCCTGATCCTGGTGAGGAGGCTCCTGGATTTCGTCTTCTCCCAGCACGACCTGGCCTGGATCGACAACATCATCCCCGAGAAGGAGAAGAAGAAGGAGGACGACAAGAAGAAGAAGAAGAAAGGCAACAAAGGCGACAGCAGCAGCGACGAGGAGGTGGGCACGGGGTCACCCGAGGACAGGGGGACACCCCAGAACCGGGCAGGGACAATTCCCACCGGGAACTGGGACGAAGCTCTGGGGTCACCTGGGCAGTGTCTCAGCTCTGTGTCCCCCCAGGAAAGAGGGCCTCCCCCTGGAGCTCTGCGTTCTGACTCGTCCCCGAACGGCTCCGACATGGACCGCAGGTAACCGGGACCCCAATCCCATCCCTGGGGGGAAATTTGGGGTCCCCTCAGGTCAAAACCTCCAGGTGGGTTTGGGGCGGGGGCAGCACCCCCAGGGTGGGTTTGGGGCAGGTTTGGGGCAGCCCCCCTGCTCACCCCCCTCTCCCTGCTGCCCCCCAGTATCACCCTGCACCTGAAGATCTCGTGCCCGTCGTCTCCCGCCTTTAACTACTCCCGCAACCCCATCTGTGCCGTGCCCCAGGTGAAGATCGAGATGGAGTCGGACTACGAGGACAGCGACACCGAGAAGGCCCCGCGGGACATGGGCAGCGAGACCACGCTATAGCCCCGCCCGCCGGGACCCCAAATTAATTTAATTTATATCTAGGATAGGTAGAGATAGCGCCGCGGTCACGGACGGATAAAGGAAACGGGGGGCGTTCCTCTCTGCCGGACAGGCGGCCCTGGCGGCCCCAAGCCCCAGCAGATTTTAGGGTCCCACACCCCAGTGGGTTTAGGGTCACGTGCCCTGGTGGGTTTAGGGTCACGTGCTCCATAATTCCCCTCTCTTCCCACTGGGTGAAGGCAACGCCGCTGGCGGCGAAACGGGGCCAGAAAGGTGGGACTGGTGATTCTGGCACAGGAAGGGTGGGATTGGTGCTTCTGGCACAGGAAGGGTGGGATTGGTGATTCTGGCACAGGAAGGGTGGGATTGGTGGTTCTGGCACAGGAAGGGTGGGATTGGTGGTGTTGGACCCAGAAAGGAGGAAGCGCCTGGGATGGGGATGGAGGAGGCTCCTGGGACAGGGCTGAGGAAGAGAAGGCAGCTGGGATGGGGATGAGGAGAAGGAGGAGAAGGAAACACAAGATGGGGATGAAGAGGAGGAAGAGGCTCCTGGGATGAAGAGGGAGTCAGGGATGGCTCCTGATGGAATGCAGGCTGCTTTCCACAGGGAAATGGCAACGGTGGCTGCAGCAAGGTCCTCTGGTCACCCACCCCACATCCTCACCTGTAACCTCTGCCAGGCCTGGGAACAGCCCCAGGGAAATCCAAGGATGCTCCCTGGAGGCTCCTCCCTGGAGGAATCCAAGGATTTTCCCTGGAGGATTCTCCCTGGAGGAATCCAGGATTCCCTCTGGCTCTGCTGCCCAGAGGCTCCGTTCCCAGCTGGGGGGGAGAGCAGCCCCTGCCCCCAGTGCTCCCAGTTCCACCCAGCAGCTCCTCCCAGTGCCCAGCAGCGTTCTGGGGTCCCCAAGGGGCTCTTCCCACCAGGCTCCCTCCAGCTCTTCCCAGCCATGGTGAGGGTTTAAAGGAATTTTCTTTTTCTCCACCCACAGCCCTGGTTTAGGAACGCTGCTCCCAACACCCCTAGAATCGATTTTTTCTCATTTTTCCTGGATGAATCCTTCAGGTTTCTCGCTCCCAGAGCCCCCAGGCCCTTCCGTGAGCAGAACTGACCTGACACTGACACCAGCAGCACTGGGGCTCTTCTGGGACACCAGTGACACACACACTGCAAATGGGACACCAGTGACACACTGAAACTGGAAACCAGTTAACACTGGGACACCAGTTAAACCCTGTAACTGGAAACCAGTTCAACACTGGGACACCAGTTAAACCCTGTAACTGGAAACCAGTTCAACACTGGGACACCAGGTAAAGACTGGGACACCAATGACACATGATTGCATCTGGGACACCAGTTCAACATTACTGAACTGGGACCCCAGTTGTACACTGTACATAGGACACCAGTTCAACACTGGGACACCAGTTCAACACTGTAACTGGGCACCAGTCACACATTTTAACTGGGACACCAGTTCAACACTGTACATAGGACACCAGTCAAACACTGCAAACAGGACACCAGTGACACCAGTTAACTGGTCACCAGTTCAACCCTGTAACTGGTCTGTTGCTGACCCCTGTAAATATCCCAATCCTCCAAGGCCATTCCCTGTTCATGGCATTGCTCATTCTGGTTCTGGCACAGCCCCGGGGACTCGAGGCAGAGCCCAACCCCTGCCCTGGCACTGCCCAACCCCTGCCCTGGCACTGCCCAAACCCCTCCTGTAGCTCCTGTGCCCACCCCGTGCCAGCTTCAGAGTGCTCTGGGCAGCTCTAAGGTTTTAATCCTGGTTTAACTCTTCCCCTGCTGCCCTGGGCTCTGGACAGGTTTAAGGTTTTAGTCCCAGTTTAATTCTGTCCCTGCTGCCCAGGGCTCTGGGAGCTGGGCCCTGGGGCAGAGCTCGGTTTTGGGCTCAGTTTGTCCCTTCTGGGCTCAGTTTGTCCCCTTTGGGCTCAGTTTGTCCCTTCTGGGCTCAGTTTGTCCCCTTTGGGCTCAGTTTGTCCCTTCTGGGCTCAGTTTGTCCCCTTTGGGCTCAGTTTGTCCCTCCTGGGCTCAGTTTGTCCCCTTTGGGCTCAGTTTGTCCCCTTTGGGCTCAGTTTGTCCCTTCTGGGCTCAGTTTGTCCCCTTTGGGCTCAGTTTGTCCCTTCTGGGCTCAGTTTGTCCCTCCTGGGCTCAGTTTGTCCCCTTTGGGCTCAGTTTGTCCCCTTTGGGGTTTTGTACCCAGGCTCAGCCTCCAGCACGGCCCCACTGAACCAGGTTGGATTTCTCTCAACACAAACCAATAAAAGCTTCCCACAGCCTGAGCTCTCCTGTGCTTCATTGGGAACCCCAAATTCCCTCCCGGGGGTGGGGCACGAGGGGCCTTTGGGAACCCTAAAAATGAGAAATAATTCTATTTTAAAAATATATAACTCTCTCTATATAAATATTATATATATAAAATATATCATATATAATTATATATAAGATATATTATCATGTATAAAAACTATAAATAGATATTATATAAATATCAAATATATAATTAAATATTAAAATGTAAAATGGAATTATATAAAAAATATATATAATTCTATATTAAACATACATAATTATATATAAGATATGTAATTATATATAAAACTATAAAATAGATATCATTTTATAAATATAAAGAATATATAACTATAGATATAAATATTAAATATATAATTCTATATTAAATATAGAATTATATATAGAAACATAAAATAGAATTCTAAATAAATATAAAAATATATAATTACATAAATATATATAATGATGTATAAATTATATCTACCTATACCTATAATTTATATATAGAAATATGGAATATATATTATCTATTTTGTATAATTATTATAATATCTATTTATTTATAATTAATATTATATAAATATAAATAGCATTATATCTAGATATTAAAATATATCATTAAATATAGACATAAAAAAACAAGCTTTAAACCCAAGCCCTGCTCCTTTCCACAAGTGCAATAATCATATTATTTAAATATTATAAATTATTAGAAAATTCAATCCAATTGTTATAAAAACATTCATCATTCCAGGGCACAAAAAGAAATTTTTTGGTCTTCTCACACTTTATTGAGGCAGCCTGAGCTACTCACACTTTACACACGGTGCAGGAGCTCCCCCACGCCCAGCTGGTCTTTGGTTACAAAAAAGGCTTTAAAAATTCACCTTTAATCCAGAGAGCAGGAAAAGCCCAGCCTAGAACAGGCTTTAAAAACTCACCATTAATCCAAGGAGCAGGAAAAGCCCAGCCCAGCTGCACTCTAGAACAGGCTACACCAGCCCAGGCCTGCACAGGCCCAGGACTAAAGTATGGCTTTAATTTAAAATTCTTTTTTCAAGTAATTCCTCTAGAGAAGAGTTTAAACTGCAGATCCAGCCCTGAGGGGGAACTGGGAGAGCCAGGATGCAAACAGGAGCAGGGCAGGTAATCCCAGCTCAAACACAAGGCTGAGCCTGGGCAATCCCAGCTCAAAAGCAATGTGGGAGTGTGGATAATCCCAGCTCAAACACAAAATTGGAGCGTGGATACAAAGCAGGAGTTTGGATAATCCCAGCCCAAAACCAAAGCAGGAGGAGTGTGGATAATCCCAGCTCTAAAACCAAGCAGGAGTTTGGGTAATCCCAGCTCAGCCAATCCCTGTGAGCTCAGGCTGGGGAAAGCCCCACGTGCAGGACAATAAATAACAAACATTGAAATATTGAAATATTGCATTTGCTGTCGGCCTGGCAGGCTGGAATGGCGAGGTTAGGCCTGGCTCTGAGGGGCCCCTCATTAAACCCAGCTCTAAGGGGCCTCATTAAACCTGGCTCTGAGGGGCCCCCATTAAACCTGGCTTGGAGGACCCCTCATTAAGCCCAGCTCTGTTTAGGCAGGCACAGCCTGGAGCTCACAGGGTCTCAGCAGTTTCTTGGCAGCAATGATGGTGTTCAAAGGGACCCCTCATTAAACCCGGCTCTGAAGGACCCCTCATTAAGCCCAGTTCAGAGAGGCCCCTCATTAAACCTGGCTTGGAGGACCCCTCATTAAGCCCAGCTCTGTTTAGGCAGGCAGAGCCTGGAGCTCCCAGGTTTTCAGCAGTTTCTTGGCAGCAATGATGGTGTTCAAAGGGACCCCTCATTAAACCCGGCTCTGAGGGACCCTCATTAAGCCCAGCTCAGAGGGATCCCTGGTTAAGCCCAGCTCTGAAGGACCCCTCATTAAACCCAGCTCTGAGGGGCCCCTGGTTAAGCCCAGCCCTGTTTAGGCAGGCAGAGCCTGCAGCTCACAGGTTTTCAGCAGTTTCTTGGCAGCGATGATGGTGTTCTTCATCAGCATGGCCACCGTCATGGGCCCCACGCCGCCGGGCACGGGTGTGATGTAACTCGCCTTCTTCCTCACCCCTGGGGGAAAAGCTGGGCTTAAGGGCCAGGCCAGGCTGCCCAGCCTAAAGCCTGGCAGGTTCTGTTGGGATTGAGGCTTTAGGAACGGGGTCTGGGTGGGTTTATCCCGCTGGACAGTGAGGCAAGGCCCGGCCTGGGTGGGAAGGACAAGGGGGGAAAAGCGCCAAGCCAGGGCTGGAAGCACAAAGGTCCAAACCAGCAAAAAGCCAGGCCCGAAAGTGCCAAAAAGCCAGGCCCAAAAGTGCCAAAAAGCCAGGCCCAAAAGTGCCAAAAAGCCAGGCCCAAAAGTGCCAAAAAGCCAGGCCCAAAAGGTGATTTTTAGCACAGAAATGCCAAATCCAAGCGTGGGGTTGGAGCAGAGGCAGAGACCCAACTGCTGAGGCTCAGGAGGCTCCTCTGGAATGTCCCCATGGGATAACCCTGAGCTCAGGGACACAAACCAGGACTGTCCCCTCCTCAGTGCCCCAAACAGCTGATCCTGAGCCCGAGGAGCCCATCCTGAGCCCAAGGAGCCCATCCTGAGCCCAAGGAGCCCATCCTGAGCTGATCCTGAGCCCAAGGACCCCTCCTGAGCCCGAGGAGCCCATCCTGAGCTGATCCTGAGCCCAAGGAGCCCATCCTGAGCCCAAGGAGCCCATCCTGAGCTGATCCTGAGCCCAAGGAGCCCATCCTGAGCCCGAGGAGCCCATCCTGAGCTGATCCTGAGCCCAAGGAGCCCATCCTGAGCCCGAGGAGCCCATCCTGAGCTGATCCTGAGCCCAAGGAGCCCATCCTGAGCCCGAGGAGCCCATCCTGAGCTGATCCTGAGCCCTCCTCACCTTCGAAGTCCACGTCGCCCACGAGGCGGGGCCGGGCCGTGAGCGGGTCCTGCACGCGGGTGATGCCCACGTCGATCACGGCCGCGCCCTCCTTGATCATGTCAGCCGTGATCAGGTTGGGGATGCCTGGAAAACACAGCCTGACCTTCAGGGAAACACAGGCACAACCTCAGGGAAACACAACCTGACCTTCAGGGAAACACAGGCACAACCTCAGGGAAACACAACCTGAGCCTCAGAGGGCTCCACATCCCGAGCCCAACATTCCCAGGATGTCCCAACCCAGCTGGGATTTCCTGCCTCCCCAGAATTATTGGATTCAGCAATTTTAAGGGTTTTTCCCAATCTAAACCATCCTAAGAAATGCAAATCTACCCCCTGATCCCCCTCATCCCCATGTTCCCAGGGTGGGATTTTGGGGTGTCTGTGCAGGCTCTCAGGGTGGATTTTGGGGTATCTGTGCAGGGCTCTCAGGGTGGATTTTGGGGTGACTCTGCAGGGATGCCCAGGGTGGATTTTGAGGTGTCTGTTCAGGGCTCTCAGAGTGGATTTTGGGATGTCTGTGCAGGGTCCCAGGGTGGATTTTGGGGTGTCTGTGCAGGGCTCCAGGATGGGATTTTGGGGTGTCTGTGCAGGGCTCCAGGATGGGATTTTGGGGTGCTGTGCAGAGCCAGGAGCTGCACCCACGATCCTGCTGAGCTCTCTCCCACCCCACCCCACTCCCCGACTCCCCAAAGGCAGAACCCCAAAACCCGAGGCTGCTTTTTGCCCCAGCCCCAGGAGCCCCCCACAGCCCATGCCATGGGCAGGGTCCCCAGGCCAGCCTGACCTGCAGCAGCCACCACGATGTCAGCACGGATGGTGTGCTGCTTCAGCTGCTCCTTGGGCGTGTAGCGGTGCGAGATCGTCACCGTGGCGTCACCTGCGGGCACGAGGGACACCGGGGTGACCTGGGCCAGCCCTGAGCCAGCCCAGCAGTCACCCTGCATGGCACCAGATCAGCACCGTGGCTTCTGAGGTGGTGTCACCCTGGTTTTTCAACCCTGGAATTTCAACACGAACTGAAATTCTGACCCCAAACCTTGAGCTGCAACTGTGACCCCAAACTAGAATTGTAACCCCAAGCCTTGAGCAGGAATTGTGACCCCAAACTGAAATTTTGACCCCAAACTGAAATTGTGACCCCAAACTGAAATTGTGACTCCGAGCTTTGAGCTGAAATTGTGACCCGAAACTGAAATTTTGACCCCAAACTGAAATTGTGACCCCAAGCCTTGAGCTGGAATTGTGACCCCAAACTGAAATTGTGACCCCAAACTGAAATTGTGACTCCGAGCTTTGAGCTGAAATTGTGACCCGAAACTGGAGCCCTGACCCCAAGCCTTGAGCTGAAATTGGTTTTTTAGGATTTTCTAAGCCTTCTGATGTTGACATTCTTGTAGTGAACTCTCTCACACGCTTTCTGTAAATAACTCATTGGTTTGCACTCTTTTATAAAAGAAGAGAAAGCTGATGGGCTGTTGGTTTGTCCAGTGTCATCGGAGAGGTGGCACTGTCACCCTCCAACCCACTGGCACTTTTGGAAATCTATAAATGTTGGGAGTCAGAAAATAAACTTCCCTTTTCTTCACCTCGAGGGCAGTGGTGTGAGCTTGTGTTCTTTCGTGTCCTATAGTGACAAGGGAGTGTTGGAAATAGAAAAGTTTTAATAAAAGACAAAAAATTTTCTCTTTCTTACAGAGAAAAACTGAGCTAAGGGCAAGAGGTTTTTGCTCCTGCTAAAATATCCCACAAAAGGGAGGACTGCCTTTGTTATACCCCAAAAAAAGGATGATTTCCTTTGTTATACCCCAAAAATGGGATCATTTCCTTTGTTATACCCCAAAAAAGGAATAATTTCCTTTGCTATACCCAAAAAAGGGGTAATTTCCTTTGTTATACCCCAAAAAAGGGATCATTTCCTTTGTTATATCCCAAAAAAGGGACTATTTCCTTTGTTATACCCCAAAAAAGGGATTATTTCCTTTGTTATACTCCAAAAAATTGATAATTTCCTTTGTTACACCCCAAAAAAGGGAAAATTTCCTTTGTTCTGTTCCTTTTCTAGTGAATTACCCAGGCCAGACCTCTTGGCCTCTGCCCAATTGGGCCTCAGGTCTGAAGTGAAGTCCTAAAGGTCTCTGTGTTAAGTTTGGGAGAGAAACTTCTGGGCTTTTTGCCTTTTGAAGGAGACAAAGAATAATTTGGTCACTCACATTCCCACAGGCCAGGAATTCCCACCCAGCACCCAAACCCAAACCCAGCCAGGGTTCTTCATCTCCAAGGTGTTCCTCAGGACCATCAGGGCCTGCTGGTGAACCCCAGGATCAGCCTCGAGGGACAGGAAGGGATTTGGGGTGGAACAGGACATGGAGATGCTGAGGGAGGGTCAGGAGGGACCTTCTGGCTCTCCACAACTCCGTGGGGACAGGAGGGGGCAGCCAGGGCAGGGTCAGGAACCAAAACAGCCTCAAACTGTGAGGGAGAAGTTTAGGGTTGGATGTTGGGAAAAAATCCATCATGGAAAGGTTGTGAAACGGGAACAGGGACAGGATGGGATAAAACAGCCTCAAGGGACAGGATGGGATAAAACAGCCTCAAACTGTGACGGAGAAGTTTAGGGTTGGATATTGGGGAAAAAAATCCATCATGGAAAGGTTGTGAAATAGGAACAGGATGGGACAGGATGGGATAAAACAGCCCCAGGCTGTGGAGAAGAGGTTTAGGGCTGGATATTGGGAAAAAATCCACCATGGAGAGGTTGTAAAATATTGGAAGAGGCTGCCCAGGGAAAGGGAGGAGTCCCCACCCCTGGAATTGTTCAGCACCCACGTGCAGGTGGCACTGGGGGCTGTGGTGCCCATGGCTGCATTTCACCACCCTGGAGACCTTTCCAGACCATTTCCCTGCACAGTTCTGGCATCCCAAGGCCACACTGGGGATTATTTCAGCAGGGAGAGCTCTGGGAGGTTCCAGGGCAGGTTTGTGAGGTGTTTTTTCCCCGAGTGTTTCCCAGCCCTACCTCCGGGGCGCTCGTGGCTGCCGTCGGTGTGCAGCAGCATGGCGATGGGCATGCCCACGTTCTTGGACCTGCCCGCCACCACCACGTTCCTGCCCAGCGTGGGGATCCCTGCAGGGCACAGAGCACAGCCTGGCACGCTGCCCTGGGCTGGGGTGGGATGGCAGAGCCCAGCTGGGGCCCGGCACAGCACCCCAAATTCCAGCCCTGGGCATCCCTGCACAGCCCCCCAACATCACCCCTGGGAGCCCTGAATAGGCAACCCAAAATCCACCCTAGACATCCCTGCACAGCACCCCAAAATCCCACCCTGGAGCCCTTCACAGCACCCCAAAATCGCCCCTGGGAGCCCTGCACAGACACTCCAAAACTGGGTGAGTTTTGAGCTCAGGCCACCTTAGGCTTAGGCCAGAGCAGAGCAGGACAATCCCTCCCTGTCCTTGATGTTCCCAGGACAGAACAATCCCTCTCTATCCCTGATGTCCCTCCCAGTACAGAACAATCCCTCCCTGGCCACACTGTCCCTGGTGTCCTGAGCTGGAATTCCCAGGATCCCCAAAAGCTGCAGCTCCCACCCAGCTGGAATTCCCAGAATCCCCAAATCAGCAGCTCCCACCCAGCAGGAATTCCCAAATCCCAGATCCCCATCTCCCACCCAGCAGGAACCCCCATGTCCCCATGTCCCACCCAGCTGGAATCCCCAATCCCCATGTCCCACCCAGCAGGAACCCCCATGTCCCCATGTCCCACCCAGCAGGAACCCCCATGTGCCACCCAGCAGGGACCCCCATGTCCCCGTGTCCCACCCAGCAGGGACCCCCATGTCCCTGTGTCCCACCTGTCCTCTGGATGATCTCCCAGACGCCCCTGGGGGTGGCAGGCAGCATGGAGTCCTGGTCCAGGCACATCCTGCCCACGTTGAGCACGTGGAACCCGTCCACGTCCTTGTGCGGGCTCACGGCGTTGCACACGCGGCGCTCGTCGATGTGCTCTGCACAGGGCAGGGACACAGCTGGGCTGGGCTGCCAGATGTGCTGCCAGGTGTGAGCCCGAGCCCTGACCCCAAATGAACGCTCTGACCCCAAACCTTGAGCTGGAACTGTGACCCCAAACTGAAATTGTGACCCCGAGCTTTGAGCTGGAACTGTGACCCGAAACTGGAGGCCTGACCCCAAGCCTTGAGCTGAAATTGCAACCCCAAGCTGGAATTTCAATACAAGCTGGAATTCTGACCCCAAACCTTGAGCTGCAATTGTGACCCCAAACTAGAATTGTAACCCCGAGCCTTGAGCTGGAATTGCGACCCCGAACTGGAAGTGCGACCCTGAGCTGGAATTGCGACTCTGAGCCTTAAGCAGGAATTGTGCCCCCAAAGTGAAATTGTGACCCTGAGCTGGAATTGTGACCCCAAACTGGAGCTCTGACCCCAAGCCTTGAGCTGCAATTGTTACCCCAAACTGGAATTGTGACCCTGAGCTGGAGCTCTGACCATGAGCCTTGAGCTGGAATTGTGACCCCAAACTGAAATTGTGACCCTGAGCTGGAATTGTGACCCTTAACCTTCAGCTGGAATTGTGACCCCAAACTAGAGCTCTGACCCCAAGCCTTGAGCTGCAATTGTGACCCCAAACTGAAATTGTGACCCTAAACTGGAATTGGCACCCCAAACTGGAGCTCTGATTCCAGGTCCTGAGTTGGAATTGCAACCCTGAGCTGGAATTATGATCCCAAGCCCTGAACTCTGATCCTGAGCCTTGAAATGGAATTGTCACCCCAAACTGGAGCTGTAACCTTAAACCTTGAAGTTGGAATTGCAGCCCCAAACTGGAGCTGTGACCTTGAACCTTGAGCTGGAATTGTCACCCCAAACTGGAGCTCTGACCCTGAGCTGGAATTTCAATCCCCAGCCCCAAACTGGAACTACAACCCCAAACTGGAGCAGTGACCTTGAGCCCTGAGCTGGAATTGCAACCCTGAGCCCCAAACTGGAACTGCAACCCCAAACTGGAATTGAAGCCCCAAACTGGAGCTCTGACCCTGAGCCTTGAGCTGGAACTGCAACCCCAAATTAGAGCTCTGACCCTGAGCCTTGAGCTGGAACTGCAACCCCAAACTGGAGCTGTGACCTTAAACCTTGAGCTGGAACTGCAGCCCCAAACTGGAGCTGTGACCCTGACCCTGAGCTCAGCCCCTCCAGCGTGTGGGACGTGCCTGTCCCCATCCCTGCCAGTGCAGCTGGCAGCTCCCAGCACAGCACTGAACACTCTGCAGTGCCAGCCCTGCCCACCCTGAGGGGATTTATCAGCAGCCCGAGGCCGCCCACGCCCAGCTGGGGAAGCTGATACCGACACTGAGCCCTGCGAGAGGAGATCAGGGCAGTGCTGCCCCAGCCTTGGCAGCTATCTGGGAATGCAGGAGGGGAGCTGAGCTGCTCACCAGGCAGGGGGAGCTGCACCAGGAGCCCGTCCACGGCCGTGTCACTGTTGAGTTTGGCAATCAGCTCCAGCAGCTCCTCCTCGCTGATGGAGGCCGGCCTGAGGATGGTCTCGCTGCTGATCCCTGCAATCACCAAATGCACAGAGTCACAAAAGAGTGAATTTCCCACGTTTTGTGCGTTTTCCACCCTGTTTTGTTGCCTGGTTAAATGTGGGAGGTGCACGCAGAGCATGGAAGGGTTTGTGCAGCTCCCAGGCTGGAGAGACCTTCACAAACCTTGGGATTTGTTGTTGGGGATGATTTTATGGGGCTGGTGGCCTGGGAAAGGGGTTTGGGACCCTGCCAGGGCAGGGAGAAACCCAAGCAAAGGCTGCTGCCATGAAAATAAACCCACGTGGGCACAGTAAAAAAGGGATGCTTGCTCAAAATCCCAGCTCCAAAAGCAGCTTCAGCTGCTCAGACCCAGGTTAAATGACACCATTTATTGCCCTGACCCCAAGCAGGACCTTGGACTGCAGAATGGAGCCAGAGAGCTGCTGAACAGGGACTGTGTCCCAGGCAGATGGGGAAAAGGAGGCTAAAAATGCCCTCCTGTGCTTTTTATGGCTTTGGGAAAGCTGAAAAACCTCAATCTTGCCCTGAAGGATCCAATTGATCACATTCAACCACACCCCAGAACATAAATTCTGGGTGAAGCCAAGAAACCAACAGGTGGGAGCATCCCAAAAATAGCTCCCAGCATCGAGTATTCCCAACCAAAGTGCGTTTTTAGGGCAGGAAAGCTCCCACTCACCCACATCAGCCGCCGCTTTGGTTTTGTTGAGCACGTAGGAGTGGCTGGCCGGGTTCTCGCCCACCAGCACCACGCTCAGGTGCGGCCTCCTGTTGCCGGCAGCCACCCACTGCTGCACCTCGTGCCGCGCCTCCTGCCGGATCTGCCGCGCCAGCTTCCTGCCCGAGATCACCACGGCGTCCCCGCTGCACGGGAACAGGGTCAGCACAGCCCCGGGCACCGGGCAGGAAACCACGAGGGAAAGGGTCAGAACAGCCCCGGGCACGGGGCAGGATGGAGCGGGAAAAAGGGTCAGCACAGCCCCGGGCACCGGGCAGGAAACCACGGGGAAAAGGGTCAGAACAGCCCCGGGAAACGGGCAGGAAACCACGGGGAACAGGGTCAGAACAGCCCCGGGAAACGGGCAGGAAACCACGGGGAAAAGGGTCAGAACAGCCCCGGGAAACGGGCAGGATGGAGCGGGAAACCAGGGGGGAAAAGGGTCGGCACAGCGCCGAGCCCGGGCAGGATGGAGCAGGAAACCAGGGGGGAAAAATGGAAAGGGTCAGCACAGCCCTGCTGCTGCCAGCCCTGGGCAGGATGGGGCAGAAAACCAGGGAAAAAAAAGCTCCATCCCTTGTGCTTTATCAGCGCCTTTAGCACCTTTGTGCTCGGTCACGTTTTAGGCTCGGTTCCAGCATCGAGGCTGGGGCCAAATGGGGCAGAACTGGAATATCCTGAGCTGGACCCACCAGGATCGTTGATTACATCCCAAAATTCCGCTCCATGCAAGCCTAAGGATGTTGTGCAAACATTGTTTGGAGCAGGGTGGGATGTTCGGGGGTCTCTGTCCCTGTCACACCAGTGAGTGCTCAGGGTGGTCTCTGTCCCTGTCACCTCACGGAATGTTCTGGGCTCTCTGTCCCCCTCATGCCAAGAAATAATTAAAAAGAGGGGATGGTGATCTCCTTCATTATCACTCAGGGGGTCTCTGTCCCCCTCATTCTGGGGGATGATCGGGGGGTCTCTGTCCCCATGGCCTCGGAGGAGCCCCGGTGTGAGGCGATCTCTGCCCCCCTCAGCCCGGGGTGTCTCCGTTCCCCTCACGCCGGGACAGCCCCGCTGTGAGGCGGTCCCGGTCCCTCTTATTCTGGGGGATGACAGAGGTGTTTCCATCCATCCCTCTCACCCCAGGGATTGCCCAGGAGTATTTCCGTCTCCCCTCACCCGAGGCCAGCCCCGCTCTGAGGCGATCTCGCCCCCCGTGCCGGGGCAGGCCCGCTGTGAGGCGATCTCTGTCCCCCTCACCCGAAGCCAGCCCCGCTGGGAGGCGATCTCACCCCCCGTTCCGGGGCAGCCCCGCACTCCCACGCAAGGCGGCCGCGGGATTTCATCAGCCTGCAGCTCCCGCCGCAGCCGCTGGGGGCCCGCCCGCCGCCCCCGGAACCGCCGGGGCCACACGAGCCGCGACCCCAACCCGGGGACAGCCCGAACCGAATCGAACCGGGCCGGGCCCGGCCGGGCTTCCCCCTCTCACAGCTCTCAGCGTGCCGGGCCCCGGCGGAGCGCGGCGGGCGCTGCTCCCGCCTCCTTCCCAAGTATCCCCGCACATCCCCGGGTGTCCCGGCCGTACCGAGCGGCGCTGAGGTGCAGGCGGCGGGCGCGGGGCTCCATCGCGGCGCGGCTGAGGGCGCGGAGGGGCTGGAGCGCGGCGGCCATGGCGGGGCTCGGGCTGACAGGCGGCAGGAACAGCACTGAAAGGAGCGTGCTTCCTGTGCCTTTTATATCCGGCAAGCCCCGCCCCACCCGGCAATAACCAATGGGATTCAGCCCCAAAAATGATTGATGGAGGTTCTCACGTTGAGTGGCGGGAGAGCTGCTGAGGCGGGGCTGCGATGTCGGTCCGGGAGCGACCGCGGCAGCTCCAAAAGAGGTGAAAATCAACATAAAAACCGTGAAATTGGTTATTTGGGTATTTTAGTGTCACCTCCGCAGTCCGGCAGTGGGCACGGTGTGGGTGGTGAGAGGCTGGAGTGACCCCACAGCTGCCCTGATTAGTGCGGTTCCAGCGATGGGAGCGGCAGTCGCCCCGGAATCACCCCCAGCTCGGTACCGGAGCACCGGGATCGCCTCAGAGTCCCCTCAGCCCGGTACCGGAGCCCCGGAATCGCCCCCAGCTCGGTACCGGAGCACCGGGAGTGTCCTGGAGTGCCCCCAGCCCGGTACCGGAGCCCCGGGACCGCTCCTGCGCCGCAACCGGCCCGACCCGGCCCGGGAGGGACAGACGGACACCGGCCGGGGAATCCCCCAGTGTCTGCCCAAGGTAAGGGACAAAATAAAACAAAATTGACAAAAATGTCACAAATTGTGTGGCTGATCTCTGCTGTCCCCACGTGTCACCTGTCACCCATACAAATCACAAATCTCCCCAAAAGTGGGGCTGGGATCCCCAGAAATGGGACAGGGACCCTCAGAAACCCCTCCTCATAAACCTAAAACCCAAATAAATGGGACGGGAACCCTCAGAGCCCCCTCCCCATAAACCTGAGCACCCCAGAAATGGGGCTGGGACCCCCAGAGACCCCTCCCCATGGGCCCAGGAATGACAAAAAGACACAAAATTCCAGGAAAACTCTCCTTGGAAACAGCTCCCAGCTCTCCAGTGCCAGCATAGACAATCCCCCCCGGTCCTCTCCTCGCCCAGGGGCCACCAAAACCCAGCCAAAACCCACCTGGGGCCACCAAAACCCATCCAAAACCCACCCTGGGACCACCAAAACCCCCATGGGGACCACCTGGACAGGTTCAGGGTTGGCATCCTGGTGGATCCTGGCCAGGAGGGCGATGCCAACCCCCGAGTGCCCACGGGCACCCGCTGTGGGTGGCAGTGCCTGAGGTAGGAGTGGCCCCAGGACACGACATGCAGGGGTGGCCACATGCTGGGAAACGGGGAGGGGACCCCCCAAAATTGAGGAGGGGGCGCTTCCAGTTCATCCAGCTGGGAAAAGCAGCAGCAGCAGCACCCAGAGGGGCTCGTCCCGGTCCTGGGGGGCTCATTCTGGTGGCCACAGCTGGATGGTGGCACTGGGAAGTCTCTGCACCCCTCAGTTGGGTTGGCACTGTGCCCATGCCAGGGATTTGGGGGTCCCTGGCACAGCTGGCAATGGGGATGTGGCACCACTAGCCTGGGTGTGGCTCTGGTGGCCACAGCCAGATGGTGACAACTGGGAGGTCTCTGGTGGCCACAGCAATGAGGGAAGCACTGGGAAGTCTCTGCACACCTCAGTTGGGTTGGCATTGTGCCCATGCCAGGGATTTGGGGGGTCCTTGATGCCCTGGCACTGGTGGCAAGGTGGGTTTGACCAGTTCTTGCCAGGGTGGGGCTCCTCTGGAGGGGTTCTGGTGGCCACAGCAACAGAAGAGCAGGGAAGTCTCTGGTGGCCACAGCAACAGGAGAAGCTCTGGGAAGTCTCTGCACCCCTCAGCCAGGCTGGCACCATCCCCATGCCAGGGATTTGGGGTTCCCTGGCACCCTGGCACTGGTGGCAATGAAGATGTGGCCACCACTAGCCCAGGAGGGAGCTCATCTGGTGGACATCTGGTGGCCACAGCAATGAGAGAAGCGCTGGGAAGTCTCTGCCAGGGAACATTCCAGAACTCCTCAGCCAGGCTGGCATCGTTCTTTAGGGGTTCCCTGGCATCCTGGCACAGTTGGCAATGGGGATGTGGCCACCAAAAGTCCAGAGTGGGGCTCATCCAGGGAGCTCTGGTGGCCACAGCCAGATGGTGACAACTGGGAAGTCTCTGGTGGCCACAGCAACAGGAGAAGCTCTGGGAAGTCTCTGCACCCCTCAGCCAGGCTGGCACCGTCCTTTGGGGGTCCCTGGCACCCTGGCACAGGTGGCAATGGGGATGTGCCCCCCCAGGGGTTTGGGGTCAGTAGAAGTGCTTGCGGCTCTGCTCCTGCCACTTGTTGTAGAGGATGATGCCGATGACGATGGCGAAGACGAGGGCCACCAGCGAGAAGAAGACGATGAGGAACAAGGCCAGGCCACTCATGGGCTCCAGGGGTGCCTCCACTGCGGGACACAGGGGTTTGGGGTTTGGGATGGGATTTGGGGTTTGGGATTTGGGATTTGGGATTTGGGGATGAGGAACAAGGCCAGGCCACTCATGGGCTCCAGGGGCGCCTCCACTGCAGGACACAGGGATTTGGGATTTTGGGAGTTTAGGATGGGAGTCTGAAGTTTTGGGATTTCAGGATGAGAGTGTGCAAGTTTAGGGTTTTGGGACAGGAGTTTGGGATTTGGGGAGTTTGGGATTTGGGGATGAGGAACAGGGCCGCTCATGGGCTCCAGTGGTGCCTCCACTATGGGACACAGGGGTTTGGGAGTTTGAGAGTTTTGGATGAGAGTTTGGGATGGGACTGGGATTTTGGGATGGGAGTGTGGGATTTTGGGATGGGAGTGTGGGATTTTGGGCTGGGAGTTTGGGATTTTGGGATGGAAGTGTGGGATTTTGGGCTGGGATCCAAATATGGAGTTTGGGATGGCATCCAAATTCCCACACAGGAGTTTGGGAGGATGGGATGGGATTTAGAGATGGGATTTTGGATTCTGGGATGGGATTTTGGATTTTGACATGGGACATTCCCCAAACCCCACTCACTTCCCGGCAGCCTCAGGTTGTCCACCACGGGCAGGAAAACCTCCCGGTCCCGTTTCTCCTCCTCCGGCGTCCGCTCCACCGTCAGCTGGTACAGCTTCAGCGAGATGATGTCGTGGTTGTCTGCAAAAAAAAAAAACCCAAATCCCCTTGTGAACCTCACCTGGACCCCCCAAATCCCCTCGGGAGCCCCCCTGGCCCCCCAGGCCGTACCTGAGAGGTCTCCAGTGACCGAGGATGTCCCAAAGTAGTAGCCCCGGGGCAGGCGCACGCCGGGCACGTCGATGCAGTCCCGCCACTCGTGCTTGCCGTCGATGTCGATCAGCACCTGCCAGGGAACCGCCTGAGCCTCTCCCAAACCCACTCGGGAATCCCTCCTGGAACCCTCAAATCCACTCGGGAATCTCAAACCCACTCGGGAATCCCTCCTGGAACCCTCAAATCCACTTGGGAATCTCAAACCCACTCGGGAATCCCTCCTGGAACCCTCAAACCCACTTGGGAATCTCAAACCCACTCGGGAATCCCACCTGGAACCCTCAAACCCACTCGGGAATCCCACCTGGAGCCTCCAAATCCACTTGGGAATCTCAAACCCACTCGGGAATCCCTCCTGGAACCCTCAAATCCACTTGGGAATCTCAAACCCACTCGGGAATCCCTCCTGGAACCCTCAAATCCACTTGGGAATCTCAAACCCACTCGGGAATCCCTCCTGGAACCCTCAAATCCACTTGGGAATCTCAAACCCACTCGGGAATCCCTCCTGGAACCCTCAAATCCACTTGGGAATCTCAAACCCACTCGGGAATCCCTCCTGGAACCCTCAAATCCACTTGGGAATCTCAAACCCACTCGGGAATCCCTCCTGGAACCCTCAAATCCACTTGGGAATCTCAAACCCACTCGGGAATCCCACCTGGAGCCTCCAAATCCACTTGGGAATCTCAAATCCACTCGGGAATCCCACCTGGAGCCTGCAGGTCCACTCGCGAGTCCCACCTGGAACTTCCAAATCCACCCAGATCCCACCTGGAGCCCCCAAATCCACTCAGGAATCCCCAGACTGACCGTGAGCCTCCTCTCGACGTAGGAAGGTGTCGTGGTGCAGGTTGCGCACCATGGCGGTGCAGCACCTTGGAATCCCACCAGGAACCTCCAAACCCACCCAGATCCCACCTGGAACCTCCAAACCCACCCAGATCCCACCTGGAGACCCCAAATCCACTCAGGAATCCCCAGACTTACCATGAGCCTCCTCTCGATGTAGGAAGGTGTCGTGGTGCAGGTTGCGCACCATGGCCGTGCAGCACTCAGCAACCTCCAAACCCTCCCAGATCCCACCTGGAGCCTCCAAACCCACCCAGACCCCACCTGGAGCCCCCAAATCCACCTGAAGACCCCTCTCACTGACCGTGAGTCTCTTCTTGATGTAGCGGATGACCAGCAAGGTGTCGTGGTGCAGGTTGCGCACCATGGCCGTGCAGCACTCAGGAACCTCCAAACCCACCCAGACCCCACCTGGAGCCCCCAGACTGACCGTGAGTCTCCTCTTGACGTAGCGGATGACCAGGAAGGTGTCGTGGTGCAGGTTGCGCACCATGGCGGTGCAGCCGCCCAGCTCAGTGGGGCGCCCGTCGCGGTCGTGGTCGTAGGTCAGCGAGCCGTTGTTCACCATGGCCGAGATGTAGGGGAACACGCGCTGCCCGGGGGGGAAAAGTGGGGATTGGGATCCTGCAGGAGGTTTGGGATCGCGGGGAGGGATGTGGGGCGGGGATGGAGCTGTTCGGTGGAAGAGCAGAGTGATCCCAAAGTTCTACAGCCGTGATCCCAAAGTTCTACAACCACGATCCCAAAAGTTCTACAACCACGATCCCAAAGTCCTTCACCCACAGAGATCTGCTCAACACAACACTGGATGGATCCCCAAGTTCTCCAACCTACACTGGAATGATCCCAAAATCCTTCATCCCATAGGAGTCAGCTCAGTGCAAGACCAGAGTGATCCCAAAGTTCTACAACCGTGATCCCAAAGTTCTACAACCACGATCCCAAAAGTTCTACAACCGTGATCCCAAAAGTTCTACAACCACGATCCCAAAAGTTCTACAACCAACGTGGGAACGATCCCAAAGTCTTTCAACTGACACTGGAATGATCCCAAAGTTCTCCACCCCACAGGAGTCAGCTCAGTGCAAGACCAGAGTGATCCCAAAGTTCTCCAACCATGACCCCAAAGGCCTTCAAACAATGTGAGAATGATCCCAAGGCCCTCCAGCCCACTAAGATCTGCTCAACACAACATGGGAATGATCCCAAAGTTCTCCAGCCTACACTGGAATGATCCCAAAGTCCTTCACCCCACAGGAGTCAGCTCGGTGGAACAGCAGAGCGATCCCAAAGTTCTCCAACCACAACCCCAAAGTCCTTCCATGATGCCAAACTCCTTCAACACAACACTGGATGGATCCCCAAGTTCTCCAACCTACACTGGAATGACCCCAAAGTCCTTCACCCCACAGGAATCAGCTCAGTGCAAGACCAGAGTGATCCCAAAGTTTTCCAACCGTGATCCCAAAGTCCTACAGCCAATGTGGGAATGATCCCAAAGTCCTTCACCCACAGAGATCTCAGCACAACACTGGAATGACCCCAAAGTTCTCCAACTAACATGGAAATGATCCCAAAGTCCTTCACCCTACAGAGATCTGCTCAACACAACATGGGAACGATCCCAAAGTTCTCCAAGCAACACTGGAATGATCCCAAAGTCCTTCACCCCAAATGATCTCCTCAAAAACCACCGGGATGACTCCAAACTCCACTCCTGTGGATCCCAAACCCCAAAAATCTCAGAAACCACCGAGATGACCCCAAAGTCCATCCCTGTGGATCCCAAACCCCAGAAATCTCCTCAGAAACCACCGGGATGACCCCAAACTCCATCCCTGTGGATCCCAAACCCCAAAAATCTCCTCAAACACCACTGGGATGAAGCCAAGGTCCATCCCTGTGGATCCCAAACCCCAAAAATCTCCTCAAACACCACTGGGATGAAGCCAAGGTCCATCCCTGTGGATCCCAAACCCCAGGAATCTCCTCAGAAACCACCGGGATGACCCAAGGTCCATCCCTCAGGATCGTCTCCCACCGATCCGGCACCGAGCCCCCACGTCCATGTCCATGCAGCCTCTCCCGGGGTTCCTGGAGGTGGGGATGGGGAGCTCCAGGTGGGACAGCAGGAGGCAGTACCTGGTTTCCAGGGCTGTACCTCCTCTTCTGAGCCTGCCCTCCAGGATTAGCACAAAGCAAGAGAGAGCAACAGAGTCACAGAGTCCAGCAGGGCCCAAAACCACGGGAAATTCGCTTCTCCTCCTTTCCGGAGCTCCTTTGGTCCTTTTTGGAGCTCTTTGTGACCTTCTAGAGGTCTTTTGGTCTTTTTGGAGCTCTTTGTGACCTTCTAGAGATCTTTTTGTCCTTTTGAAGGCTCCTTTTGGAGCTCTTTTTGGAGCTCTTTGTGACCTTCTAGAGATCTTTTTGTCCTTTTGAAGGCTCCTTTTGGAGCTCTTTTTGGAGCTCTTTGTGACCTTCTAGAGATCTTTTTGTCCTTTTGGAGGCTCCTTTTGGAACTCTTTTTGGACTTTTTGGAGCTCTTTTGGTGTTTCTGGAACTCTTTTTGATCTTATGGAACTCTTTGATTTTTTTGGAGCTCTTTATGACCTTCTAGAGGTCTTTTTGTCCTTTTGGAGGTCTTTTTGACCTTTTTGAAGTTCTTTTTGATCTTTAGGACCTCTTTCTGATCTTTTGGAGCCCTTTTTGATTTTTTGGAGTTATTTTTGACCTTTTTGGAGCTCTTTTGGTCTTTCTGGAGCCATTTTTAATCTTTTAGAACTCTTTCTGATCTTTTGGAGGTATTTTGACCTTTTTGGAGATCTTTTTGATCTTTTAGAGCTCTTTTTGATCTTTTGGAGCTCTTTTTGTCCTTCTGGAGCTCTTTATGACCTTCTAGAGATCTTTTTGTCCTTTTGAAACTCTTTATGACCTTTTCGGAGCTCTTCTTAATTTTTTAGAGCTCTTTTTTCATTTTTTTGAGCTCTCTTTGACCTTTTTTGGAGATCTTTTTTTTTTGATTTTTTTGGAGCTCGGCTCAAAAATCCTCTCCCAATTTCCCTGACCAAAAAAAAGAAATGTGGAAAAGGAATGGGAAGAGGAGGAGGAGGAGGAAGGAGCTCAGAGGATGAGGAGCTGCGTGTGACGCCGGCGGCTCTCACCTCCTGCTGCTTCTCCTCGTTGGGGTACGTGTCCACGAACACCCCCAGCCCCAGGAAGTTGTCCTTGCTCCCAAAAACGGGTCCTGGAAGGGGAAAAGGAAACGTTGGGAAGCTCGGGGAAGAAGTTTGGCACCGGTCTGGGAAAGTCCTCAAGGACCAAGGACCATCCAGTCCCATCCCGTGGATGTTTTCCATGAGTCCAGGTTGCTCCAAACCCTCTCCGAGGCGTCCCCAAAGCCTTTTCCAAGGTGTCCCAGGTGTCCCCAAAGCCTTCTCCAAGGTGTCCATGGTGTTCCCAAACACCTGTCCAAGGTGTCCCCCAAATCCAGGCTGCTCCAAATCCTTTCCAAGGTGTCCCAGGTGTCCCCAAAGCCTTCTCCAAGGTGTCCCAGGTGTCCCCAAGCCCTATCAAGGTGTCCCCCAAGTCCAGGTTGCTTCAAACCCTGTCCAAGGTGTCCAAGGTGTCCCCCAAACCTCTCCAAGGTGTCCCAGGTGTCCCCAAGCCCTGTCCAAGGTGTCCCAGGTGTCCCCCAAACCTCTCCAAGGTGTCCCAGGTGTCCCCAAGCCCTTTTCCCCAGGCAGGGACGGTGCTGACCCGGCTGCATCCTGTCCTTGGTGTACCAGATGGCGAATCCATCTCCGTTGAGGTTCTTCTTGCCCTGCCCGTGGATCTTGAAGTGCACCTGCATCTCCCAGTCCCGCAGGTAGCAGGGCTGGCAGGGAGGGGGAAAATGGGGAAAATTTGGGAATTCCTCAGTCCTAAATCCACACCCACCGTGCCCTGGGCCCCCTTCACCGAATCCTGGGTGATTAATCCCAAAAAAACCATCGTTAATCCCAAAAAAACCATAGTTAATCCCAGGAAATTGGTTGTCACCCAAGGGTTGAACACCGAGGGAGTGACTCCAACAAAATCCGGGAAAGCAGCAGGAAAAGCTCAGGAGCAGCTGCTAATTGCAGTTATTAATTAGCTGCCAATTAATTCCGTGCTCTGAGGGAGCCCTGGAAGTTTTTGGGATACATAATTCCAAGGAAAAATCTGATTCCTGCTTTGGGAAGCCAATTCCCACTCTGGGAATCCTATTCTCAATTTGGGAATCCCTCTCCTGACCCTCTCCCTTTGCTAACCCTGCCCCAATTCCAATCCTGATCCTGATCCCGATCCTCTCCTGCCCTGATCCTGATCCCAATCCCGATCCTGATCTCCTCCCACTCCAAATGCTTCCCCAGTCCCAGTCTTGATCCCAATCTTGATCCTGACTCTCTCCTGACCCGATCCCAATCCCGATCCTGACTCTCTCCCTCATCCCATGGATCCCATCCCATCCCATCCCATGGATCCCATCCCACCCTCTGGATCCCCCATCCCATCCCACAGATCCCATCCCATCCCACCCCAAGGATCCCATCCCACCCCATGGATCCCAGCCCATCCCGTCGATCCCACTGATCCCATCCCCGCTCACCACCCGGTTCCACACGGCTCCCTGCTTGCTCTGCACGTCGGGGGTGAGGCGGATGAACTGGGTCATGACCATGGCGTTGCCCAGCAGGTCCCAGAGCCCCGAGCTGGCCGAGCCCACACCTGCGGCCCACACGAACCGTCGGTACCGGCCACCGGCACCGGGCACCCGCCACATTCCGCCGGCACCGCCCGCCCTCCCCGCTCACCCTGGTACGGCTTGGACAGCGAGTGCTCGCGTTTCAGGTGCTCCTCGGTCTGCTCGGCCGCCGTCCCGCCGAGCCCCAGCAGCACGGCCAGCAGGGCCAGCCCGGCCCGCCACCGGCCCGCCGCCGCCATCTTCCCCCGCCGCGCCGCGGCCCGCCCCGCGCGCCCATTGGCTGGCACGCACCGCTGTCCCCGCCCACTAGAGGAAGCGCCAATGATGATTGGGTAAATAACCTGTCAGTCAGCTGGAAGTGCGAGGGGATGATGGGTAATGTAGTTCCGGTTCCTGGTGATGGCAGCCGCCATGGAGCTGGGTGACCTCCCTTCTCCCGGGTCCTAGTGCCACCCCCGAGGTCCTGGTGCCACCCCGGGCCGAGTGACGTCACACGGGGCGTGTCCCTGTGCCCCCAGCAGTGTGACTCCCTCAGCGTGGGTGGGCGTGGTCCGCCACGTGACGTCACCGAGAGGGTGCCCCCAGAGTCGCTTCTCCCTGTTGCGGGGTGTGACGTCACATCAAAGGTGTCACCGAGGGGGCGCGGCCAGAGGAGCGATCTGGGGCGTGGTCCTGCGCGTGACGTCACTGCAGGGGAGTATCTCTTTAAGAGTTTCGCTACACCCCCGTGAGGCGAGGCCGTGTCTCTGCGTGACGTCATCGCCGAGGGCGTGGTCTTTTACTTCTGGGGGGGGTGGCCAGAGTGTCCCTCCCCCTGCTGGGTCCTTTTCCGTGTGTGACGTAACCGCTCAGGGCGTGGCCACAGCGCCCTTCCCCTCCTCTGGGTGGTGTTCCACGTATGACGTCACCCCGGCAGCGACCTCATTGAACCATCCAGGACGCGCCGAGAGTGACGTCACCCTCGAGAGGGCGTGCCCAACCGGCCGCCGTTCCCCGATGGGGCGTGTCCTGAGTGACGTCACCCCCGAGGGGGCGTGCTCAACCGGCCGCCGTTCCCCGAGCGGGGCGTGCCCTCCGCGCGTGACGTCACCGCGCGGCCGCGTCCGCCCGTGCGTGACGCTCCCGCCAGTGCCCAACATGGCGGCGGGCGGCGGCGGCGGCGGCGGCTGTGGGGGGACCCCGCTCTCGCCGGGCCCGTTCCTGCCGCCGCTGCTGCTGCTGCTGGCGCTGCCCGGCGGCGCCGTGCCCGCGGCCGACACCGTGGTGCTGGGGCTGCGCCTGGAGGAGAGCACCAAACCGGCGGCGGCGGCCGCGGTGGCACCGGCGGGGGCGGCCGAGCGCGGGCCCATCCGCCTCACGGAAGGCAGCGAGGCCTTGCTGCGCCTCTACGGGCTGGGGCTGGGCCCCGGCGCCGCCGAGCGCGTGGCCTTCGCCGAGCTGCGGCCGGGCGGCAACGCCTCGAGCGGCAACGCCACGTGCCAGGAGCGCTCGCAGGACCTGGTGGTGCGGCCGGGCCCCGCCGAGCCCCGCGACACCTCGGCCCTGCTGCGGGTGCGGGTGCAGCCGCTGCGCAAGGACGAGCGGGCCAAGACGTACGTGCTGTGCTCGCAGCGGCGGCCCGGGCAGCCCTGGCTGCCGCACCAGGGCCCCGACGGGCACGTGCTGGTGCTGGAGGAGAAGAAGTCGCTGCTGCCGCTGTGGCTGCAGGTGATTCTGATCGTGGGCTTGTTGGTGCTGTCGGGGATGTTCAGCGGGCTCAACCTGGGCTTGATGGCGCTGGACCCCATGGAGCTGAGGATCGTGCAGAACTGCGGCACCGACAAGGAGAAGCGTTACGCCCGCAAGATCGAGCCCATCCGCAGGAAAGGGAATTACCTGCTCTGCTCGCTGCTGCTGGGCAACGTGCTGGTGAACACCACGCTGACCATCCTGCTGGACGACCTGATCGGCTCCGGCATCGGCGCCGTGGTGGCCTCCACCATCGGCATCGTCATCTTCGGCGAGATCGTGCCGCAGGCGCTGTGCTCGCGCCACGGGCTGGCCGTGGGCGCCAACACCATCGTGGTCACCAAGTTCTTCATGCTGGTCACCTTCCCGCTGTCCTACCCCATCAGCAAGCTGCTGGACTGCATCCTGGGCCAGGAGATCGGCACCGTGTACAACCGCGAGAAGCTGGTGGAGATGCTGAAGGTGACGGAGCCCTACAACGACCTGGTGAGGGAGGAGCTCAACATGATCCAGGGAGCGCTGGAGCTGCGCACCAAGACGGTGGAGGACGTGATGACCCCGCTGCAGAACTGCTTCATGATCAACAGCGACGCCATCCTGGACTTCAACACCATGTCGGAGATCATGGAGAGCGGCTACACGCGCATCCCGGTCTACGAGGACGAGAGGTCCAACATCATGGACATCCTCTACGTCAAGGACCTGGCCTTCGTGGACCCCGACGACTGCACGCCCCTCAAGACCATCACCAAGTTCTACAACCACCCCGTGCACGTGGTGTTCCACGACACCAAGCTGGACGCCATGCTGGAGGAGTTCAAAAAGGGTGAGGAGGGGCTGGGAGGGGAATCCCAGGGGGGTTTTGGTCTCCAGGGTTGCAGCTTGCCAGGCCAGAGTGGCCACAGACACAAGGGGACGAGTGACAGCTCAGGGACAGACGGGAGGTCACCAAATTTAAGGTTTCATCCTACCCCAACCATTCCATGATTCCGTGTTCTGGTTGAGATGGAATTTTGGGAAGGGATTCTTCCTTTTAGTCCCAAAATTTGGGGATTTTGACTTCCTCCATTTGAAGCTGCCCATGCCAGGAGTCTCCACAACGGCCACAAACCCAAGGGGACGAGTGACATCTCAGGGACAGACGGGAGGTCACCAAATTTAAGGTCCCATCCTACCCAAACCATTCCATAAATCCATGTTCTGGTTGAGATGGGATTTTGGGAAGGGATTCTTCCTTTTTGGGCTGGTGAGGGACATTTAGGGACTCCTAAATCCCTCCAGGGACATTTAGGGATTCCCAAACCCCTCCAGGGACATTGAGGGATTCCCAAACCCCTCCAGGAATGAATGAAGGATTCCCAAACCCCTCCAGGGACATTTAAGGATTCCTAAAACCCTCCAGGGACATTGAGGGATTCCCAAACCCTTCCAGAGGTGATTGAGGGATTCCCAAATCCTTCCAGGGACATTTAGGGATTCCCAGACTCCTCTAGGGACATTTAGGGATTCCCAAACTCCTCGAGGGATGATTTAGGGGTTCCCAAACCCCTCCAGATGTGATTTAGGGACTCCTAAATCCCTCCAGGGACATTGAGGGATTCCTAAAACCCTCCAGGGGTGATTTAGGGATTCCTAAACTCTTCCAGGGGTGATTTTGATCCCTCCAGGGGTGATTTAGGGATTCCCAAACCCCTCCAGGGACATTTAGGGGTTCCCAAACCCCTCCAGGTGTGGGGGAACATTTGATTCCCAAACCCAGTGAGTGCTGAGAGCTGCTGGGCTCGGGGTTATCGTGGCTGCTGGCAGAGGCTTTCCCTGCCCCAATCCTGATTAAGGGATTTAGGCTCCCTCTTTGCTCCCTTCCTTCCTTCCGGGCACAAATCCCAGCCCGGCTCAGCAGCCGGGAATTTGTGGGGCTGGGAATTTGTGGGGCCGGGAATTTGTGGGGTCTGGAATTTGTGGGGTCTGGAATTTGTGGGGCCGGGAATTTGTGGGGTCTGGAATTTGTGGGGCCGGGAATTTGTGGGGCCGGGAATTTGTGGGGTCTGGAATTTGTGGGATCGGGAATTTGTGGGGCCGGGAATTTGTGGGGTCTGGAATTTGTGGGGCCGGGAATTTGTGGGGCCGGGAATTTGTGGAGTTGGGAATTTGTGGGGCCGGGAATTTGTGGGGCCGGGAATTTGTGGGGCTGGGAATTTGTGGGGCCGGGAATTTGTGGAGTCGGGAATTTGTGGGGCCGGGAATTTGTGGGGTTGGGAATTTGTGGGGTTGGGAATTTGTGGGGTTGGGAATTTGTGGGGCCGGGAATTTGTGGGGCCGGGAATTTGTGGGGTTTTGGAGGTGACCCCATAATTCCTGCTGGGTTCAGGAGCTCCTTGACCTGCTCAGGGCCTGGATCAGAGGCAGGAGAGGGAGTAATTAAAGTGGTTGTGTTAATTGTGGGGTTGGAGCTGTGCCCCAGGGGATGTCACTGGTGCTGCCCTTGGGGGGACAATTCCTTCCCATCTCCAGGGTCTGAGTGGGGAATTTCCCTCTGGAGATGGGATGGGATGGGAATGGTCACCTGGAGATGGGAATGTTCTCCTGGAGAAGGGAATGGTCACCTGGAGCTGGGAATGGTCTCCTGGAGAAGGGAATGGTCACCTGGAGAAGGGAATGTTCTCCTGGAGATGGGAATGGTCACCTGGAGATGGGAATGTTCTCCTGGAGCTGGGAATGTTCTCCTGGAGATGGAAATGGTCCCCTGGAGATGGGAATGGTCCCCTGGAGATGGGAATGGTCACCTGGAGATGGGAATGTTCTCCTGGAGCTGGGAATGGTCCCCTGGAGCTGGGAATGTTCTCCTGGAGCTGGGAAGGATCCAAGGAGAGCCCAGAACCCTCCAGGAGAGCTGGAGAGGGACTGGGGACAAGGGATGGAGGGACAGGACACAGGGAATGGTTTTCAAATGGAGGAATGGGGATTTTTGTGGGATTTTGGGAAGGAATTCCTGGTTGGGATGGAATTCCAAGGCCAGATTGGAGCCACCTGGGACAGAGGGACTGGAGGAGCCCTGAGGTCCCTCCCAACCACTCCAGCATTCCATGAACCCCTCCAGGACATTTAGGGATTCCCAAACCCCTCCAGGACATTTAGGGATTCCCGAACCCCTCCAGGGACCTCCCTGTTCCTCCCCCAGCCCATTTGGGGTTCCTGGGGTTTGTCCCCCCCTTGGTGACCCCAGCCTGGCGTCCCTGGTGCCCTTTGGCCGTGTTTGCTGTGCCACAGCCACTCCCAGGCTGCTCATCCTGACTCACCTGTCCCCAGCTGTCCCACCCCAGCTGTCCCACCCCACCTGTCCCCAGCTGTCCCCACCCAGGTGGCCCCATCACAGATGGTGAAATCGTTTCTCCAGCCCTGCAGGCACCAACTTTTCCTGACCCTGCAGGCGAGGGAGGAGCGAAAATGGGATCTGGGATCCCCTAAAATCCCAGATTTTCCTAATCAGCTAAAATTCCCCTAAAATCAGCTTT